GGAAGGAAGGAAGGAAGGAAGGAAGGAAGGAAGGAAGGAAGGAAGGAAGGAAGGAAGGAAAAGAAAAAAAAGAGCCAGTTTGGTGGCATGGGTCAATAATCTAGAACTCAGAAGTTGGAGGCAGAGGCAGAAGGATCAGTTTGAAGCTGTGCAGTCAGGAGGAAGACGTAAGGAAAGGCAGGAGGGCCGCAGAGAGAGGAAGGACAGGGAGAAGGGGAAGCACAATGGGAACCTCACTGAACTCATTGCACAGCTCTATCTGTATGCTTAAGGCTTTTAGGGGCTTGAGTCACATCAAGTGAATTTAAATTTTGTGTTTGGTTCTGTTAGATTTACTCGTTTTAGTTAATGATGACCGTTTTGCCTGAATGTACGTTCTTGAGCCACATGTGTGCTAGGTGTCTGCTAAAGCCAGAAGGGTATCTTTTGTAGTGCTAAGAATTGAATCTGGGTCCTCTGTGAGAGCAACAAGTGCTCTTAACTGCTGAGTCATCTCTCCAGCCCGGTGTTTTGTTTTTAAATACTGACATGTGCTCTGATGAAATAATTCTAAGATACTAGAAGGATAAGAAAGGAACATACTGCTGGCTGGAATCCTTTTTTTGGGACTTGTCTACACAAAGGTAGTAATGCTCATTTCTGTAGAGACCCACAGGTACTTTCATTGATTCACTGCATCCTACTCCTCGAAGAGAAAAAGAAGTCTAAAGGAGTGACAGTTTCGGTTGTAGTCAATCTCTAGTTGGGACTTCAGGGCCATTCATACAAGGAACCTCCAGAGAGGATGATGGTTGCGTCCCGCACAGCAAGACCCTCAGGATTCTGTGACCAGAAGGCTTTTATAATCAGAGGCAAAAAGCTATGGATTAAAAAAAAAACAAAGGAACCGGGAGGGGAGGAGGGAGGGGCTTATGGGGGGATACAAAATGAATAAAGTGTAATTAATAAAAGTTAAATAAAAAATAAAAAAACAAACAAAGGAAATGGAAGGTACCACATCCCTCTAGTGGGAAGTCAGCTGGCCTATGGCTTATCACTACAGACCTGAGAAATGAAAAAGAGAACATCAACAGAATGCCAACAAAGTGGCAAAGAGCCATAGGAGATGGGCTGGAGAAATTGCTCTGTGGTTAAGAGTGTGTGCCATCCTCCTAGAAGACCTATGTTCAATTCCCAGCACCCATATCAGGTGGCTCACAACTACCTGTAACTCCAGTTCCAAGGGATGACCTCTTCTGGCCTCTGTGGCCACCTGTCCTCACATGCACATACCCATCCTACCCCTCATACACACACAATTAAAATAAATAAAATAGCCAGGCACACCTTTAACCCTAGCACTTGGGAGGCAGAGGCAGGCAAGACCTCTGTGAATTTGAGGTTAGCCTGGTATACATGAGTTCTGATCCAGCAAAGGCTACATAGACCCTATTTCAAATAAATAAATAAATAGATTTTCCTTTTCTTTTTTTTCTTTTTTTTTTTTTTTTTGAAGCCATGGGGAAGTTGGAGGGGCAGGGCCACTGACGTCTTGCACACCATTGCCTTCAGGAAAACCACTGAAACTGACCCAGATAGAACAAGCTGCCATGTCAATCACAGGGCTGGAGTTGAACCTAGGGACTCCTGCTCACAGTATCTGGCCACCTATGGTTCCTGCATTTGTTCCTCCTCTAAAAACAAACTGCATTCCTGTAGCAACAATCTTAATCCACAGTCTAAAGCACAAACCTCAGCCTGCAAGGACCACAGGCCAATACCTGCATGAGCCCCGGCAGGGATGCTCACCTCAGATAGCTCTCCTCCTGCAATAGGTTCCTGAGGGTCTGGAGGTCCCCTACATAGGCTGCATCATGGAGTCTCGTATCTTCACAGTGCTCCAGTGGATGGTCACAGAACTGCTCTCTCAGCCACTCCTTCAGATTGGGACCTGCACTGAAAAGAGTGGCTCCCATCAGTGTGGGGGAGGCCTTCTTTGGTGGCTCCTTCCTGCCCAGGCACACAGGAATTTTCAAATTCCCAGAAAATAATTCACATGAAAAGTTTTCCTTTTCAAACTAGCATCAAACAGACACCAAGTCTGATAATTTTTTTTTTTCCGAAAAAGAAAAAAAAAGTGATGGACTGGGCAAAAAAAGTAACAATGATCCAGTAGTACAAAGTGAAATTTAATATTATGCCAAAAAAGCTAGCATGTAATTAATTTATTCGAAGTATGTAAGGACATCTTTAAATTGGGGCATTCAAAAGAAGAACGGTATGTTGGGTAACCTTTGTGCACTGTGTGAAGGTTATCTTTGTATATTCAGCGGTTGATTGCTGCACAGCAAATAGCCAAGTATTGTCCTGGGACTTTGTATTGTTATTCTAATGGACCATCACCTGCCTCATATTTTGTTAAAACTCTTCCTCCCTTTTGATTGGCTTAATAAAGAGCTGATGGCCAATTACTAGGCAGGAGAGGAAAGGCAAAACTTCCCAGATGGGAGAGGGTCTCTGTGAGAAGAATCAAAAGCAGGAGATCTACAAGCATGTTGGGAAGGAACAGGTACCAAGACTGAATGAGAGAGAAGTAATGGGCCACATGGCAGGACATAGGCCAGGATTTGTCAGAGTAGAATAGGGAAGAATCTGCCCAGCTATAGTGCCTAAGCTTTTGTAAAAATTAATGTTTCCATATCTTTATTCATCTGCTGGCAGTTCCAAGAAAGTCCCATTATAACGTTAGCCACCTCCTTTACTACAAAGACGGCTGGTAAGGCAAAAGCCAAAGGTCCAAACAAAGGTTACTACCTGGAAGGCAGGTGAGTTCCCTACCAAGCTGCTCCAAGAAACAGTAGCAAGGGTGTCTTGATAAGAAACAACTCAGCAGAGTACTACTGTCCGCAGAGAGTTCATGTGCTAGAGGTGTGATCCCAGCACTGCAAAGTGGGGATGTTAAGGCAGGCGGCAAGCGTCACCCTTCTCTGCAGGTGGGTGAAGCGCCCCTGTAATCGCTCGCTGGAGAAGCACTGTAGTTAAAACGTGTGTGTTGGGATAGTGGGCGGGGTGGGGAGGGGTGGTGGATATTCCTGGATGAGGAACGGGAGAAGGAACCTGTCCTCCCGAAGGCCGGCCTCTGAGGACTTTTACTGACCGGTGCGCTCAGATCTGGAACAAGATCCGCACCCCAAGTCACGCCTGGGCTCCTCTCAGACCAGGCTCGGCTGCCGGGATGGCAGTTACAACGGTAGCTCCACCAGAAAGAAGCCCCGTTAGGAAGGCTGTCCACGAGAGGCCGGGGCGAGGGGGCGCGCCCAGGGCCGCGCAAGGCCTGACGCCTGCGCTCGCAGACCCCGGCGCAACAACTCGCATCCGGAGGGCGAGGACGGAGGACTCGGCCCCGGCCCCCGAGGGCCGCTCTGACCGACCCGGGCACCCAGCCCCGCTTCCCACCACCCCGCGCCGCGCACGTTACCTGCGGGCCCCGGGCCGCCCGGCCCATCGGGGCTCCCGCCTTCCGCCATGCCGACCTGGTCCTCAGCCTCCGCCCTGACCCCGCCGCCCGTCCGCCTCCTCCACTATCCCGTCAAAATACAGCCCGGTCTGAGGTACACCTCCAGCGCTTCCGGCAGGTGGGCGTGCCCGGGGCGCGGCTTCCGGCGAGGAAGCGGCTCTCTATCGCACTTCCGCTCCGCGCGCGGCGGGCTGGGGGCTCCACTTCCGGCCAGGCTGAGGAACTGTCGGTCGCTGAAGAAGGCCGGACTGTGCTGTGGCGTCCACCGAGGCCGAATCTGGGGACTCCTGGTTGGTGGGCCCTGTCCCCGCCCCCGGAGCGGCTGACGGTCGGGAGAGGTTCGGCGCCCCTTGTCCCTGCAGCAAGGCTCCCAACGGTGCCTTCCGAGTCGGTATCTTTTGTGTTGTGTCAGATGAATGTAGCCCAGAATGTCTCCATGGAACCAACAGTGTTTGTAGCCTGGCCAGGCTTGTTGACCGATGGCTTTTCCCCCCAACACTCCCGATTTTACATGGGTTTCAAACAGCTCTTAAACATGGAAGCCGTCGGGTCCTTCCATTCTCTTCTACGCGACTTAGGGAAGGTCCCTTGCAGGGAGAGGACCCCAGCGGACGGGAGAGGCTGCGCCTTAAGGAGACAGAAGCGCCCGCCCTCCGGTGAGACGGAGACGAGGCCGCAGTCCCCAGCACAGTGGCTGTGACTTGTCTGCATCTTTGTGTGGTCATGACGCACCAGCTGGGAGCTGGCGACCCAGAGGAGCCCAACTAATGCTCGTGCTCAGACTGGCTCAGTTGCACAGGTCTGTGGAGCCTCGAGCAGCCACGGGCATTGAGGGTGTTGGGTGGGAGCCAGGGAAAGAGGATTCCTGCAGGGGTATATGGGCTTGATAACCGCAGAGAGCACCGCTCGCACGAGGGACAGGCGACAGCAATGTCACTGCAAGGCAAAGAACCAGAGTTGGCCCAGCCTTAAGGCCCTGCTCCACAGCTGCACTATTAGGGACCTGGGATGCCTCAAGTGTAAAACCGCCCAGCTATGCATAAATAAGTACACATCAAAATATGGTGCGGTGGGCCATCCATGTACCTTAAAAAGCCTGTCTCAGGCTGCAGCGTGCACACGCCTGGAGGATGCTATGCTCAGTGAAATAACCTATTAAAAAAAAAAAAAAAAAAGCATGATTCCACTCATAGGTCACTAAAGCAATCAACTTCATAGAAACAGTGGAATAGTGGATACTCAGCTGTTGCCAGACGAGGGAGTGTCAGTGGTGAGGGAACAAAGATAAAACTCCTAGCCTGAGAACACTTATTTATCTCTTAAGAGACTACATTTCAGGCCAAACTGGACTCAAGGCTTTGACTCAGAAAAGAAGTTTACGACTAGTGGAAGCAAAGTTAGGGTTTTATTAAAAATATTTTAATATTCGACTCTTAACCACAAGAAGAAAGAATACCCAAGTATAGCTCTTCAAGGGTGTTAAAATTCTTAGCACTTGCAATCTATACCATTTTGATGGCTCTCAACTCAGAAGATTGCTCAGAAATTGTGTGTGTAAGAGAGATATTATGGGGTGGCTTCAGAAATGCCTTGGATGGAATTATAATCTGATAAAACCAGGAGCCACTGGTTGCATGAGTTTTGTACATGTCCTTTCTTGTAAATAAAGTTTCTGGTGAGAGTCCTAGAAAATTTCAGACGTACAGGGGGAGAAGGAGAAAGGCCTTGGGCAGTTAATTGTGCTAGAATTCCTACTTCCCTGTCAGCAAGAGGCTTCAACCAAATTCCTGGGTGAAGGGCTCCTCTTCCTTTTTACATCCCCATAATTTCCCTTTCTATCCTATCTCAGGAGGAATAGGAAGTGAGTGCTTTTTAAAGATTTGGAGGGGGGGTCACTTAAGTGGAGAACAGAGTCTTACTATGTAGCCCTGGCTGACCTGCCATCTCTATATAGATGAGGCTGGCCTTGACCTCATAGAAATCCACCTGCCTCTGCTTCCCAGGTGCTGGGAAAGTATACTACCATGCCTGGCAAGATTATTTTTATAATTATTTAAAGTGTGTGTGTGTGTGTGTGTGTGTGTGTGTGTGCATGTGCGGTGTGGGGGTGGGGAACCATGTGTGTGCAGGTGCCCCCAGAGGCCAGAAAAGGGAATAAACAACCTAGAGCTAGAGTGATAGGCAGTTATGAGCTGGGTGCTGGGAACTGAACTCTGTTCCAGTATGAGTCATCTCTCCAGCCCCAGAAGTTAGTATTTTAATGGAACAGTATCAGTTTGGAAAGATAAAAAGGTTTAGGGTTGATTATATTGTGTTTAGGTAACAGTCATAACTTTAAAAAGGTCAAAATTGCTAATTTTATATTTTATCAGGTTTTTTTTTTTTTTTTCAAGACAGGATCCTACTATGTAGCTCTGACTGTTCCAGAATTCATTATGTAGACCAGGCTAGCCTCCTACTCCCAGAGATCACCAGTCTGCCTCTGCCTCCCAAGTGCCAGGATTAAAGGCATAAGCCACTCACTGTGCCCAGCACAGTTTTTTAAAAGAGATTCTAAACTGTATGTCTTTTGTGTGTATTTTGTTGTTGTTTTGGTTTAAGGTATGAGAGAGACAGAAACAGACAGAGAACATGAAGTTGGGTGACTGAGAGGATCTAGGAAGAGTTGGGGGAGAATATGATCAAAATACATTGTATGAAAAAAATTAAAATAAGATTTTGATTAGGTGGGTCTCCCCTGGGTCGGTCTGTAAAAGTTTTTGGTGACTGTTGCACACAGGCAGCTTCAGCTGTACCACCTTCCCTAGTCCCAGGGAGCTCAAGTCACCGCCCTATGTCTTCCCAGCCTTTGCGTGGAGGTGACAGGACTTGAGCAGAGCCCTGCACCTTCACGCCCCTCATATGCTTCTGCCGCTTCCCTGGAGAGGCCCCCTGCACTTAGAAAGAGTTAAGCAGCCCTTGGTTCATGAAGCAAAGGTGCGCTTCCATTCCCAAAGCACATAGTAGCATTCTCGGTGCCTGGAGTTAAGGCAGGTGGAAGGTCACATACTCATTGACCCACACACTACCATTACCTGCAAGGTCAGGAGCCTAATCAGTGCTGTAGCCAAGGCCTCAGAGCCGGCAGCTTGCTGGCTGGGTCAGGCCTCTTCTCACCCAGCTCCACATGTCTCTCCTCCACAGAGTCTCATGGCTTCCTCCTTTTTGGTTGGTTTTGGTTTTTTCGAGGCAGGGTTTTTCTCTGTAATCTTGGCTGTCCTGGACTCACTTTGTAGACCCCACTGGCCTTGAACTCACAACTCACAGAGATCCACCTCCCTCTTCCTCCCCAAGTCCTGGGATTACAGGCATGTAACATGGTACCCGGCTTCTTCCAGGTTTTATAAACTCAAAAGACCTACCCAGAGCTGGGCAGTGATGGCACATGTCTTTAATCCAGCACTCAGGAGGCAGAGGCAGGTAAATTTCTGAGTTCAAGGCCAGCCTGGTGTACAGAGCGAGTTCTAGGACAGTCAGGGCTACACAGAGAAACCCTGTCTTGAAAAACAAACAGAAAACAACAAAAAAGACCTTCTCAGAAAGGAAGCCAAGAAGGGGCCAGCACACCTCATGCTTAGGATCCTCTTATCCTCCCTCAGGCTTTTCCAATGCAGGCAGTTACAGTCCCTTCCCAAAGCCACAAGGCTGAGTCCCCAGCTGCATGTAGCACCATCATGTGTGCTGACCCTCCACAGCTCATGCCCCGTAGCTGCCTCTGAGAACTAGGCAGTAGACTGAATCACTGGGGGCCTGAAATGCTCATTTCTCCTGGCCCTGAGCCAGGGAAGTGTTGTGGGTACCTGTTCCCAGCAAGCCACATCCCCTCTTCTGAAGTATCATCTCTGCAACTCTCCATCCTTGGTAGAGGCAGAAAGTCTTCAGTTTTTACCACAGAGGCTTAAAGACTTGGACTTTGCCCCAGAATTATCCTTTCCAGCCCCAGCTTGCTCCACAGACATTGCAACCCAAGCCCGGGAACCAACTTGTAAAGCTCTGAGAGGCAGAGTCCACATCCTGCTGGGAGACCCCAAATGAGGCGATTCCTCCACACATCAGTTCCTTCCCTGTCACTGTAGCTGGTGTTAAGTGGCAAATCACTGGGGTTGTAATAACCCAAAATTCCATGAGCACCATGTACAATGGTACAGAAAATCTCAGAACTGTATGGGCAGCCCCTGTGGGTGTTCCTGTCCTAACCGTCGGTCATTTTACTCTCTTCAAATACAAACCACAGAAGTAGCTCCCTAGGTGCTGACAAGCCCTGCACCCCTGAAATGTGCAAGCCAGGCTTGTAAACCTCAGAGCTTAGAGTTCAAGCCCTCGTAACTAGCTATTTGTGGCCCCCGCCTCTCAAAGCTAGAAACTCAAAGCTCCCGGTGCTCAAACCACAGCAAATCTGAGCCTTCAAATGGGGTAGCCCTGTAGCCAGTGCCACAGCTCCGAAGATGAGTGATCAGGTCCTCAGCCTGAAACTGAGGCTCATTGCTCACTGCTTTCCTGAAGAGCCAATAACTGGCAAAAACTGAAGAGGAAAAAAAAAAAATCTCAGTTTCTGTCTTTGCCTGTGGCACTGTTCCAATTTGAAGAAAAGATGAGCAAAAACCAGAAAATGTGAACGTGTACATACAACTTGCAATAAGGAATCTGAATGGTGAGGTTCACCTTTTCCAGGGAAACATCAAGTAGCTAGCTGCCCTTCTGGTGCCAGGGCTTCAGGCCCCAGCATAGGCGCTCCTCAAATCAGCCAGTCAATCAATTCCAAACCTCTCCCTCCTCCTTTCCCCTCCTTCCCTCCTCTCCTCTCCCTTCTTTCTGGTGGTCTTGGGCTCATGGCAAAACTCCTGCCTCAGTCTCTGAAGTGCTGAGATTACCACAACCTAGCTAAAACATTTTTACTTAATATTTAAACCCTTTGAACAATTTAATTTCAAAAGCCAAAATCTGTCCATAGTTGAAGACACTGCAGTGTGGGCTCTCTCTTGAGAAGTGTGTTTCCATTCTTTTTAATTTATGTGCATGTATGTATATGCCATATAAATGCAACAGCTAAGGAAGCCAGAAGAGGGCGTCATTCCCATGGAGCTGGAGTAACGGGTAGTTTTGAGGTCCTGATACAGATGTTTAGGAACCAAACTCAGGCCCCCCTAAAAGAGTGGCAATCACCCTTCTCCACTAAGCCCTCTCTGTCCCAGCCCTCATCTCTAATTCCCATGCTTAAATCATCAGGCAAGGTTTTCTAAACAAAGTTTGCTTTCTACTGACTCACACTGAAATGCTTGTCCACAGTGAAGAATCATGGCTTCACCTGAGTAGAGTTTGGAAGAACTCCTTGGACTGCTGAAGAGATGAGACTTGTCTGCGTATGGTACCTACTGTGCACTGGTCCTGTGGGAGATTCAGAGCTGAAGAAATCTCAGTCTCAAGTGGAAGAGGACTAGAACAACAGAAATTCAGACAGGCAGAGGATCCGAGTCACTCATCCCAGATCAGGAAGTCAGTCCAGGATCCAGGGGCTCCAGAATGCAGGACAACAGTGCCACAACAAGGCTAAGCTGAGACTCTAGCCTCTCTGCAGCCCGCCTTTAGCCTAGACTCTTCCTCACTGTGTGCTTCCTCACTGCCAGGTGACATTTTCCTCCCATAAAATTTGGTTTCTGTCAGTTGGACTCACAAACCTGCTAATGATACCTGAAGGCCAGCTTCTGTGTCCCTTAGCCAGACATCTGAGGCTTTTCATTAGGGAAGCCCAGCTACCCACCCTTCCCCCACCTCCCATCCTACATATACAGACATGGCTTCTTTGCCTCCCCACAACCTCCCAGGAGCTATTTTTCCAGTTCACCAGGTGTCCCATCGGAGCAGCAGGACCCTGGGTGCCCAGCCCTGCTCCACCCATAGGATCCTAGGCCTTTATCTCCTCCCCTCCCCTCACAGCTGCCCCAGAAGCTATCTCCTGCAGACACGCAGTTCTCCCTCTGCTGGCATGAGTGTGTGGTTCTCTCATGAGAACATTGCTTATGGGCACAGGCAGAGCCAGCAAGATCCAGAAATGTAGGTACAATCAAAGTGGAAACTGTGGACCAGGGTAGAGCAGTCAAGCGTGGCCTTAAAAGAGAACTGGCCCCGGGAGTGCAAGCCAACTTACAAAGGGTGTTTGCAAACCTCAGACTGAAGCAGGTAGACCCCAAGTATAGTTACTCCCAAAAGATACAGATATTAAAGGCCTGCACCCCAGTCTGCGGTGCTATTACAAGCTGGTGGAACCCTTAGGAGATGGGGCCTAATGGCAGAAAGTGGGGTGACTGGGAGTGTGCCATCAGACTGTGACTGTGGGACCCAGCCCTTCCCTGTTTTACTTTCTAGTCATCCAGTGAGTAGTTTTGCTCTGTCATGTGCTCCCACCAAGGCTACCATCTCAAAACTATGACAGTTTGCTCTGTGGCCTTACTAACAAGCCACCCAGCTCCTCACTTAGCAACTAAAGGGAGAATTTTCACCACACATCCACACTGTCCCAGAAAGCAACACTCTGATCTCCCTTCTGGACCAGCAACAAGTCCAGTTAGATTCCTCCACCAGGACATGGAGGTACAGAAAAGGCTCCCCCTAAGGACTTGGAAGACAGGAAAAGACAAAGAAGTCACAGCATGAAATTGTTCTTAGCTGTGTTACCCAAAAGCACTGTTTGGGGAACTATTTTTTTAGAAGTTAATTACTCTCACGCTTAGATTTTATTTCTTCATAGGCCCCAAGCCAAAGGACACAAGCCCAAAGGTGGGCTGTTGTGAAAGCCGAGGACCCTGCAGAAGCCACACTGGGGTCAGAATCAATGGCACTACCTTGGGCAGGGAAACAGCAGAAGGCTATTTTTGAAGCCATAAATGCTCAGGGCATCCTGTGTTGCAATTAATAAATACCATTGTTGATAGAAACAAAGCCCGCCTTTACTTCTTGATTCTGTGGCCCGTTTGGTGAAGCACTTAGGAACAAGCTCAGCCAACATACACACATAATGGCATTAATTACATCCTGTGAATTTATTTTTCCAGAGAGAAATATTTCTGACGGGAAATGTCTATAAAAGCAGTTTAAGCAGAGTGTGATTGTGTGTATGTTTCCTATAGGAAATCTGTTTAGTTTAAATCCCAGCTTGAGGGCACAAAGACAGGAGCACAAAGAGCAGAGCAGGCTGCTGACAGCCCAGAGGGGTGTGGTGGTGGTCCAGGGCCTCTCCACCCTTTGCCTGTGAGATCCTGACTCTCAGTTCTGCACCCAGTAACTGACTTGTTCTTAGGACAGTGAAGGAGCAATGCTTTTAGGGCTACACGCTGGGCACATCCTCCTCCCAGCCAAGACCCCTTCTGTTAGTAGGGCGACAGAGGCGCGTTTGAGATGGAACCCTATTTAGTTCTCCATGGAGTCACTGCATCAACCTTGTCCGGAGACCCATCACCACCGAGACCCCGAGAACTGGCCACCTCCCAAACGGTTGTTCTGAAGTTACCTTTGAACTTCAGGGGACACACACACACAGAAGCAGTGACGTACGTGTGTGTGTGTGTGTGTGTGTGTGTGTGTGTGTGTGTGTGTGTCAGTGTTATATAACATTATATTAATGTACTAGCATTAGAATTAATGATATATTAATATGTCTTCTTTGTGCACCACTTCTCTTTTTTACATAATCAAGCCAACACCACAATGGCTATGAACCATTCTTTCTAACCTCATATGTCTTTGGTTCTCCATGTTCCAGGACAGGCCTAACATCCAAGCATTCAATCTAGGCCGACGGGTACTGAACCTGAGTGCACAGAGGAAGTTTTTAAAACAAGATTCAGTTGTCTCCAGTTACTTCAATCACATTTTAACATACCTCCTTTTGAGGACTGAGGACACAGCTCAGTGGGTAGGGTTGTACAGGCATGAAGAGCTGATTCTGGATAAAAAGCCAGGCGCAGCCATACAGAACTACAGTCTCAGTGCTGGGATATGACAAGGGGAAGACAGGAGGGCACAGGGTCTTGCTGGCCAGCCAGCCTAGCTGGAAAAGACAAAACACGATGGGCTCCAGGTTCACTGAGACTGTCTTAAAGGGTAAGGCAGGTGTGGAGCACCCAGCATCCTCCCCTGGCCTCTACACACGCGTGCATAGTGCCACACACACACTTACACCCAAGTAAGTAAAGTACATTGTTCCGGTCCTTATAGGAATATGAGTTAGAAACTGTCACCTTGGTGTATAGATGTGCTGCTTGTCCTCCTTGTCACTGTGAGTTTAAGTTTTTTCAGATTTATTTATGTGTTTAATGCTTGCCTATATGTATGTATATATGTGTGTGCCTGAGGAGTTCAGAAGACCATGGATCCCCTGGAACAGGGGCTACTGATGGTTTTGAGTTGCCATGTGGGTTCTGGGAACTGCACCCATGTCCTCTGCAGGTGCTCTTAACCACTGAGCATCTCTCCAGCCCTTGTCATAAGTTCCATCTTCATCTAGCTGTACAAAATATGCTCTCTCTGACACAAAACACTTCTGATGGCACAGAGGGAAAAATCAAGATATGGTAAAGAAAGAGACATCCAGGAGCTATGGTTTGTATAGTTTCATGGATTAGGTACCTGACTGGTCCTAGGAATTGAAACTGCTAGAACACCATGTTCAACATAAAATAGCACCTTCTTAAACTCCGTGGTGATAACTTTTTTTCTAAAGGTATCACTGAGCAAAGCCCTCTGTTAAAGGCAGTCACATCTCATCAGAAAGACAGATCGGACACACACAACAGGCCAGAGGACAGACAGGCCAGTAATCACAAATTACAGACAGATGGAAGGCACAAGTTGGGAAGTGAAGAATTGAAATTTGGGTTCACTCCTGATCAAGAAAGTAACAGTTAGGGTCCAGAGGTGAGTGGAGCCATGCCCACTCTCTCCAGAGGCCTCCTTGCTCTGTAGACATTGTAACCTTCCTACTGCTAAGGAGTCCAAGTATTCCAACAGCAGGGTGGATGCCTTAGCAGGTTTAAAAATGAAAATAAGGGATAAAGAGGCATTGAGTTTTACCGGGAGACCTCTCCGGCCGGGAAGAGCCTTCTGCACCCTGCCCCTATGCGAGTGCCTTCATGGGCTAGGGAGCAGCAGCCTAGGAGGCTCCTGGAAGAAACGCTTCTGTCCACAGCAGTGCGGGCTGCAGGACCTACGTGAACTTATCAGAAGTTTCTAAATTACTTGAACCAGTTTAATGCTTAAAACCTATAGCTAAAAAGTTTTTCTGTTTGCTTGGCTGGTTTACTAGTGCACATCAAAAACCGAGGGTGAACTTGGCTAGTTCGGATCACAGAGTCCTTTCCTGACACCGACTAGATTTCTACCCACCTCAAACTCTCACGGGCACTTGAGGCACAGCAAGGAAGGATGCCTCTGGCATCACATATTGCAAAGTTGATCGCTGAAAGGAAAACAGCCTGAAAGCATAAAGCCTGAATGCTGGCCCTGAGCTGTTGCCTTAGTCCCTGAGTGTCTAGGTGTGTGGGCAAGTGCGGGTGCACCTGTAGCAGCCAGGACCTTGGGTCTCGGTCCTCACCTTCCGCCTCTTCTGAGGTGGGCTCCTGTTGTTTGCTGCGCACAGTCCGAGCTAGCAGGTCCAACTCCTGAAGACTGTCTCTGCCTCCCATCTTCCTGCAGGCGCTGGGACTGCAGATGTGTGCTGCCACATCTGGCTGTTTTATGTGGGTTCTGAGGGTTCCTACTCAGGTCCTCACACTTGAACAGTGAACATTTTACCGGCTGGGCCATCTCACCACCCCACCACATGCTATTTCTACACATTTCCTCTAAGCACAGACTAATGTAGGCCCAATCTTTAAGTTCAAATCTCTAAAGTGTGACTCTGCATTCCTAGAAAACTTATAAACCACAGTAGGGAAACAAACAACTAGGAATTCCACTTCTATACTCTCAAAATATTAAATAAAGTCAGTGCTTAATTTGTATATCCCAAGACATAAGAGACAGACACACATACAGGCCTTCAGAAACTTCACAAACCTAGCAAAGTATAAGCAGGCTCATAAAATGTCAATTACTACAAGAAAGGAAGTATGTCATGGTATGAATGGAAAACTATTTCCCCTCCACACACCTGAAAATTAAAAATCCAAAAGCTTACATTTTTTTCCTGTATCAACTAAATTTGACAATCCATACACTTATAGGAAAAATAAGTGATTATTTTAATGATTTATGTATAAAAGAAAAATAAAACTTTATGATACAATCTGATACACTATAGCATATAAAAATTTACTCACAATGTAATTTTCTCAACATAAAAATTCTATTCATATATACAAATTCATAAAATGGTTTCTCTATACATATATGTATATATATATGTATATATAAATATATCTTACCTTGGTATATATGGGTTCACCTAGGGTTATGGCTAAGTCATTTAACAGTAGAAAGAGATTACGAACATACAAAAGACTATCTGACAAGCAGCCTCCCCCCCCCCTTGCGCTACAGAAGCGCCTGGTTAGCTGGGTGATGTGGTGAGACCAAGCAGCGGGGGGTCTCCACACTGTCCAGGCCCCAGCTGAGAACGGGGCCCTGCTTCAACTGACTGAGCAACACTAGCCGTGCCACATGTGCTAAGCCTTCAGTGAGCAAACACTTGCTCAGGCCATCTTCACAGTTACCAGGGCTCGCCTTAGTGTGCATAATAAATACTCTGAAACATAAGGACCATTTCAGACCTCAAGCCAGTACGAACATCTCCAAACACAGTGACATCCTCTATACAATAATTCAAGACGTTAATAAATATTTACAGTATTTTATGTAGACAAAAAAAAACTGAACATAAACAAAAAAAATTTTTTTTGCTTAAAAAAATGGATCTTTAAAAAAAGAACAACAAACACAAACTGTAAATTCGTGTGCTTTCTTCTTTACAGTCTCTCCTCACTCAACTCTCACAGCACACCTACAGAGGAAAGGGACTATGCCAGCACTTCATGCTTTCAAGGTCCTCTTAAGGAGCCCGAGGGACTGCTTATCCATCGGGAGTAACCTGGAAGGCCGAGGTGGTAGCCCATGACGGCCTCCCATCACACAATGCCCTCAAATGCCAGACTGAATTTCCCTTTTTCAGCATATGCGCTTCCAGGGCTAGAATGCAGACAGCAGGGCCATGAGGAGACTACAGAAAGCAGCGTGTCTGCTTTCCTCATAAGAGGGAAGCAATCCCGCACAGGTGACAGGCATCTTACAAACTACAGGCTGAAATGGCCCTTCCAGGTGGAAACAAAAAGGACAATTTAACCCTTTCAGGCCTCATCCTATTTATAAAGTAGCCACCAAAGAGTACACAGTGGTCCTTTCTCAGTGCCAGTAGGAAGTCCTTCTGGGAGACTCAAAAGCAGAAATGAAGGCCTGATGTTTCTCTAGTAGGATGGCACAACTTACCTGCTGGAAAACTGGGGTACAGGGTTAAACAGGCTGCAGCAGAAAACGTTTTTGTCAAAAACAAAGCAATAAGCCCTCCTTCCCACAAAGGCGAGCTAGAGGCTAGTTATAAGTAGCAAGTACTGCAGCTGGAAGAAGGAAGAAAACTTTTAATAAGTTTAGTGCCTAAACCGAAAGCTTGACCTTAGCTGGGTCAGGGTATCAGCAGTTCATTTTCTCAGCAGGCTGGGCTCAGAGGGGCGGTTTCCTGGGCCTTCTCCCACAGTGAGGAAGACAGTTCCATCTCTACAGGGCTGGCCGTTCACCTTCGTGATGTCAGGTTGATACTATGCACCATTTTCTGGATCTTCTCCTCATTCTTCAGGATGTTGGCCTTCACAGCACAGATCTTGTCCTGCTGGTCTCTGATCTGTTGCTCCAGCTCAGACAGCTCGGCCTTCAGGGGCTCTACTGCACTGTCCGTGATGCTGGCAGAAGACAACAGTGGCTGGTCAGTGTCCTGCGGGTCCTGCCTGTGCCTCTCACTCCAAGGAGAGGGTTAAGGGTCAGACCCCTAAGAACAGTATGACAGGCACCACTCACAACTGGCAGGCATCAAGGGTAAGCCCACCTGAGGTGCTGACTGTTTATTCATTCATTTTCTACAGAACCAGGAAGAGAACCCAGGTAGGCACCCAGGTAGGCACCACGGAGCTCTTTCCCTAGCCAATTTGATATTTCCCTTAAAAAGTAAAATGAAAAGTAGCTAATATTCCCTCAGGGACAGGCTTGAAGTCCTTAAAATATATACACGAGACTGATGGACAGCAAAGAAGTGGACTGCCAAGTCCTCCCAGACACTGGACGTAGCCTGGACCAGCCCCTCCTCGCCAGGAGATACCGCTCCTTGGGGTGAGGCTCCAAGGCTTGAGGGACTCCCTGCCCAGGTCCTGGCTCATGTGTTCAGCAGGGACAGCTGACCTCTTCATTGCTGGGCTGAGCACAGGAGCAAGCACAGAATATACTTCAGAGTACTGGAGTCCAACGTAACCTTTCCCTTCAGGCTTTTAAAGCCTATAAAAGTAGAAAGTAAATACAACACAAAGAGCCATGTTCCCCCACTTGGCTGCACTAGAGCAGGATGGGGTTTTACAAGGGAGGCTCTCGGGGCTGACACATTCCAACGTTTTAAGTCCAAAACTATGAAGCGTTAACTCATCAGGTGCTGCAATGAGCATCAGTATTACTGGTAGTTTTCTAAATTCCATCAGGTGCCATATTTCAAAATTAATGGGACTTTTTAAACAAAAACAGACTAGTAAGAAAAGCCACCAAACTGGTTGTCTGATACAAAGTGGTCAGTCCTGAAAAAATATATACTCAACAGAAGTGGACCCAGCAGGTGTGGTTATGTATACTTGTGCATACACATACATACATATAAGTATGTGTACATAACAATGATAATCAAAAAAGAGATGCTATCAATTTGAGAGTGGGAGGTTATCAGAGGGGTTAGAGAGGGTACCTGGGGGAGTTGGAGGGAGGATGGATAACAGGAAAAGCAATGTAATTGTACTATGAAATTAATTTTTAAAAATTGGGGAAAAGTATAATTTCAGCTGGGAATGGTGGTACACACCTTTAATCACAGTGCTCAGAAGCAGGTGATCTCTGTGAGCTGAAGGCCAGCCTGGTCTACATAGTGAATTCCAGGCTAGCCAGGCTAAAGTTTGAGACCTTGTCTCAAAACAAAACAAAACAAAAATAAAAAAAAGGAAGGAAGGAAGGAGGAAAGGAGGGAGGGAGGGAGGGAGGGAAAGGAGGGGGGAGAGAAGAAAGGGAAGGGAAGAAGGACGGAAGGAAGGAACGAGCAGAAGCAATTATAACTGGGTTTTTCTGTAACAGGGACTTACAAATGTATCATTTAGCCAAATCATATGTTATGAAGACGATAGTCACATGCTTCCACAAACACAGGCACCTCTCCAAATAAAGCTCCTCTCTAATAAATTTCACTTTCCAGTGACTATTCTGCTCCTTTTAGTTACAGTTTCGAGTGAGTTCATCACTATCTCATTCAGATCTCCACCCCTCCCCTCTGCAACCCCCACCCCTCCCCTCTGCAGCCCCCACCCCTCCCCTCTGCAGCCCCCACTCCTCCCCTCTGCAGCCCCCACCTCTCCCCTCTGCAGCCCCCACTCCTCCTGTCTGCAGCCCCCACCTCTCCCCTCTGCTGCCCCCACCTCTGTTCCTTGCTCAGGGCCTCAGCATGCTGCCTGTTTTCGCTGTGCCACAGCTGCAGCTCGTTCTGCATGGCATCCACGTCCTCCTGGATGTAGTCCATGATCTTTCCCAGGGGAAGTGCACTCTTACACAGGGTCTGGATGGACGAGCGGAGCTTCTCTATCTCCCTGGAAACAATGTCCTTCTCCTTCTTCCATGCTGACTCAAAGATGAGTAACCGTTCCTTCGATTATGGGAAGTAGGAAGAAAATATCTTTAGGGGTAAGCTAGGCAAGTTAGAGGCAGCACCCCAAGAGGGTCCCACAACAGGAAAATCTGATCAACTGAACTTATCAGAAATAAAAATATTTACATAGTCCTTCTCAAGAAACGACAATCAGGGGAGAGGAAATATTTGCAAATTACACAGCACATAGAAGACATGCATATTAAGTAAAACACAGAAAGAACTCAAAAAACTCAGCAGCAGCAAGCAGGCAAACCAATCAGAAGAGGGACAAGAGACCAGAGACATTTCACTGAAGGTGACATTTGGTCCGCAGTAATCATATCAAAGTGCATCCAAGAGGACCAGTGGCTCTAAGTGCAATTTAGACAGCCAAGCCTGGTGCCAAGCAGGAGGAACTGGGCCGATAGTAATTTCTGGCAAGACAGTGGGTTGTCTTTAAAGACTACCTCAGTGCTATAGTACCTCAGTGAATCTAAGAACATATGCTGAAGCCTTGGGCATTATGAATGGGCTTTTGAGAGGCAGCTGGGTAACTTCACAGTAGAAGGGCTGTTTACAAAGTAGGGCCATCTCTGGCAAGAAGCCATCTCTGGGAGCGGCCTTTGAGAGCGCATCTTGCCTCTGGCTCTTTTCTCCCTCTGTTCCCCAGCTGCATGGGTGAGCAGCTGTGTTCTGCTGTCAATACACCCTGTCCACCACAATGCTCTGCTTCACCAAGGTCCAGAACAATGGGCTGAGTAACCACGGACAGAAACTCCAGAAGCTGTGAGCCAAAACACAACTTTCTCCCTTTAAGCCATCTCCTTGGGCATTCTGTCACAAATGACAGAAAACTGAATAATACACACACAATCCAGCAAATGTGTATCCAAGCAGCAACACTTAGACTCACACAAAAATCTACACATAAACGTTGAGATTTTATTCAAACTAGTTTCTAGCTGGACATGGCAGCACATGCTTGTAATTCTAGCACTGGGAAGGTAGATTTCCTCAGCTACATAACCAGTTTGAGATGTCTCAATAAAAATTAAAAAATGATAAGTAGTCACAAGCTGGAAATAACCCAGACATGTCAAATAAACTGTACAAGACTACTCAGCAACAAACACGAGAAGCACCTTGGCAACTCCTGGAGTATTACACCAAAGGAAAACGCCCTGCAAGGTCATAAACTGAGTGCTCTTATGTATACAAGCTTGAGAAGACAGAGTTACAGAAGCGGAGGGCACACTAGTGATGGGCAGGAGACAAGGTGGGAGAAAGAGCTAAGTTTAAAAAGGGGACCGAGAAGGATCTTGTGACAGAAGCATCCTGCATCTTGACTGCACTAGTGCCAATAACTTGGGTGTGGGGACAAGAAGGCTTTAGAGCACATCTCCAGTGTTTCTCCACAGTTACCTCAAAATAAAATGTGTGTGTTTAGAGAGATGGAAAAGCCAGGCATGGTGGTACACACTTGTAATCTGGAGACAGGCAGGCGGAGCTTGCCACACATATTCACAGCACTCCTACTGTCTAGTAGACAGTGCAATGCCCACCACCGTACAAACTACCAAGATATTGAGGTAACAGGAGGCAAACTGGGTCTTGCACAGTGGGCAGGAACAGATCTCCCCTGAGGCAGGGTTCCACATGGATAGCAGATCACTGTAGAGTCTCTGCAGAAACACAGTGGCAGGCTGCTCGTGCCCGGGGAAGGGTGAGGGCGAGAGAGCAGGGAGCATCATAAGTGGGAGACGGCAGACACGATGAGGGCTTTGGTTTGATCTTGACCAACAACAACCACAGAAGGGATGGGAGCATCGGAAAAAAGCTCTTTAATTAATTTAAAAGCCATTTGGCTCACACTTCAGCATAAAGGCCTTGGTGATAATTACCTATCAATGTGATGGGAAGGCGGGGGCTAAGGTATGAAGCATATGTCTGTCTTTGGTTGGCTGGTCCATGTTTTGTTTTGTTTTGAAATGGGGTCTCAATTGGCCTCAAACTTGCTATGTAACCAAGGATGACCTTGAACTCCTGGTCCTTCTGTCTCTACCTCTTGAGCGCTGGGATGACAGGAGTGCACCACCAAACACAGCTTAGGAAATGGAAGGTTTCGGTCATGACTTTTAAGCAGCAGTCTTCCGTTGCATTGCTGAAAACGCGCTCACAGTCTCACACTCCGGGATCCTGTTTCAGCAACTGGATCTCACGGCCAGCCTCTGCACGGGGCCTTTTCGGAGACACAGACACTATCCATTCCACCACCTGTGCCACCATAACCTTGTTTTTTAACTTCCAAGACTTATGATGCGTCATCTCCAACCAGAACCAACTCAGCTTTCTAAGAATTCAAACTCTAAACAGGCAGCAAGCACCTGTACTCCCCTGAGCCCGGCGCATTCTCCCGAAGGACAATGCAGACGAGATGAGACTATATGGGCCATGTGACACCGTGATCGTGTTCTACACGACCACAGACCTCAGGACAAAAGGTTATTATTTCCTTAAGATACAACCCGAATTTCCCCACACTGACAGAACTCTTCCTTAACCTTTGTGAAGGAAACCAATCCCACAAATAACAACAACTACTATTAGTGCTACTATTAATATTACTGCTGCTACAACTACATTGTTGCTCTGAAGGTCATTGAGAAAGAGCACTAAGGACACCCCCTCTGACCCCACTCTTGGAATATCAAAGCACTGGTGTGTGGGACTGGGCACCACAGAAAAGGGCATTCTCCGGAGCAGTTCCCCTTGAGAGCTGACGCGTGGCTGACGATACCACACCACCTAGCAGCCAAGTAAGAATCTGAGGAGCAAGCCAAACCACCAAGTAGGATCAAAATTGAACTCAGTTAAACAGCATTAACTGCAGTCTATTTACCTTAATTAAAATATAACATAAGAAGATTGTTTTGTTCATTAGGAGGCATTTGAAAATAAAGCAGGTAGAAAGTAACGAAGAAAATGAAGAAATAAATAATGAGACTACTACAATTTGAATCTAAATTAACAGACTTTCACTCAGTTTGGGGTTTTTTGTTTGTTTAGGGTTTGGTCTGTTGTTGTTATTGTTTATTTGTTTGCTTTTTTAAAAACAAGTTCTCGGGGGCTGGAGACCTGGCTCAGAGGTTAAGAGCACTGTCTGCTCCTCCAGAGGTCCCGAGTTCAGTGCCCAGTAACCACATGGTGGCTATGCCATCTATACTGGGATCTGATGCCCTCTTCTGGCCTGCAGGTGTACATGCAGATAGGGTACTCATCTACATTAAAAAAAAAAAACAAAAAACAAAAAACAAGTTCTCTCTGTGTAGCCCTGGCAGCCCCAAAATTCACTACACAGACCAGGCTGGCCTTAAACTCACAGAGATCCACCTGCCTCTGCCTCCTGAGTGCTGGAGTTAAAGGTGTGTGACACTACACCAGGCTAAATTACCAGACTTTTCTGGTAACCTCACTGCAAGGGCTGCATCAATCAGCCCAGGACTCAGTAACGGCAGAGACAACATGGAGAATGGCGGAAGAGGGAAGGACAGCAGTTGGAATGACAGTTCCAGACATAAAGTACAAGGAGGAACACAGTGGTGCCCAGAAGGACACCTGAGAATGAAGGATGTTTGTCACCAGGGCTGGCTCGGGAAGGGCAGGGAACCAGATCTCCACCAACAGGACTGCGTCTGGGCTGACCAGACACCTGAGGGTGAAGCACATGGCTTCAGATATGAGAAAGAACAATCTGACTACCTTGCTGCAGGCAGAGCTGATATCAGACACAGCATGCTGTGTGCAGAAAAGAGCTGAAGTCTGTATCACAAAAGAATGCAACTGCAATACAGACAGATAGTATATGGAATATGTACGTTATACATACGATTATATCCTACAAAGCACAACCAATAACTGTAGTGACAATTTTGGAGATTTGGTTTCTTTAAAATTGAAACAGAATTATACGAATATGTTTCTGTCTTAATCCCAGGTGTGGGAGGGGCTGCTTCAGACTGCCCACAGTAGCTATGATTTGCCTTGTGCTCCAGCAAAGGCATGGTTTTGCCAGTGGCGGATAGTTTCTGCAATGTGTGATGTATGAAATTCTGGGGACTTTTCAGAGGGGATTTAAATGCTAGGGCCCAAGAGGCGAGACTGCTCCCTGTTGGTTGCTATTGGTTAAGTAGTCACAGGCAAAGAAGAACAACAAAAAGAAACTAGATGTCCTGACTTCAAAGATCAAACTTGTCCCAAGGAACTAGACGCCCCTAATCAGCAGGAAGAAGTCCAATGATAATGCTGCCCCCTTTCCCTCTATCCTTTTTGCTCTCCTATCTAGTGTTAGGGTGTTGAAAGGGTGGAGAAGGGTGGAAGAAAGTAGAAGCCACAAAGTATCAAAAGACAGCTACAAATGGTGCCCAACTTGGGGCAAATGGGAAACTTGATTTCAAGTGCTATAGAGAAAACAGCATCAGATGAATGGATGAATTTTTCTTTTCAAAACACCAGCAAAAAATTTATGGCAGCTGCTAACACTTGGATATTCCATGCTCTGCTCCCAGACAGGATTTTCTGGGTTTTCTTTTTCTTCTTCTTATATTGTTTCAAAAAAGATGGGGAGAATGACTGAGAAATTGGAAAAATTGCAGATGGAAATGGAGGGATCTGAGAAACAAAAAATGGCTGAAAAGGGCAAACAAAAGGGTTCACTCTGCTCCCTCCTTTCTGAGAGGGTACAACTGGAAAAAAATGTGGGGAAAAAAAGTGGAAGTGCTTGGAAATCAAGGAGCACCAGAAAAGGCCACAGTCCTGGTGACTGAGCAAGAGAACAGGAGTTTCCCACAGGAGGAGAGAAGGAAGGACACTGTGGCAGACAGCAGTAGGGTCAGAGAAGAGCTGAAAAGAGCAGCTGCAAACAACAAAAAGACATCAAAGGTAGAGGTACGGATGGGAGGCAACCACGCGGGCAAGTCCAAAACCAAAAAGCTCTGAGGACAAAAAGGCTTTTCGTAAACATACCCTTCTACTGTTACTTCTCCATTGCTGTGACAAAGCACCGTGGCCAAGGCAAGGGTAATTTATTTGGGCTTAACGGGCCAGGGTTAGAGTCCATGAGGGTGTTGTGAAGGCATGGCAGCAGCAAGAGGAAGCTGCGAGCTCACATCTTGAACCACCAAGCAGGAAGCAGAAAGCGCAAACTAGCAAGGGTTCGAGTCTTTTCAACTCCCAATGCCTGCCTCCAGGAACACACTTCCTCCAACAAGCCCACACCTCTGAACCCTTCCTAAACAGTGCCGTCAACTAGGACCAAGTATTCAAATGTCAGAGCCAAGAGGCAACATTCTCATTCAAACCACCACAGCCACCAAAACTCATTCAAGGCATTTTAATGTTCCATCATCTAAGTGTGACTCAGCCCTTCTTTTGTGGAAGCTTTCATGTGTTTGCTGACCTTACTGGGGGCTGATGGCAGAAAGGACCTACAACCTAACAATTAAAGAAAACACATAAGTAAGAAAGACCATAGGAGCCAGACACACATAGAACTTACAGTAAGAACCAGGCCTGAAAATCCCAGCTCTTAATTGGCGATGACCCAGGGGCAACAGTCATCTGTGCACTATGCACAACAGACGGGGAGAATGAGCAGGCAAGGCCAGAGGGAAGCTATAGATTGCAAGTACAACATCTTCCCCATGTGGCCGCTGCCCCCCACAACAGGCTGGAGGGTCAAGAGCAGGACCCCACAGATGGAGCCCCACACTCTCTCTGCCTCAGCTCTGAAGGGGAATGTCATGTAAGCCCATGAACAGGATTACTGCTTGAAAATCTACTGAAAATTGTAACATCTAAAGAATTTTTTGGATACCCATGTCAGGCCTGCTCCTTACCTTCTCACCAGGCTTGGAAGACTGCTGTAATTTCTCATAATCCTTCTTCGTCTCCAAGATCTTTTTCACGAGCCCTCCTGTAAAAAATCAGTAGTTTTCAGTTAAAACTTATTATGTGCCCCAAGAAGCTACTTATTATTCTTGATTTTCATTGGGGAGACGAGAGAAATGCTAAATTCTCATTCTTTTTCTTTCCATATCAAGACATCTTCCTATTGTATAAAATGGACCATAGTGCCCCCTGCTGCTGGCAAAGACTAGTCACAATGTGTCACAGAAAGGAGTTTTGTAAATAAACAGATTATGTGCTAAAAAGAAATGTGGATTAACACAAAAAATATAACTACCCACTGCAAACAGAGCAATTCTAAAGGATTCTCAGCGCTGTTGCATCTTTCAGATTGGGCAAGAGTACTAAATTTCTTTTAGAATTTTCCGTGGTGGAAATAGCTCATGAAAAGTCGCTGTCTTACAGTGCTTTGTGGGCTGTTGGGGAGTAGTGTTAGCAGCAGCGTAGCCGGGCTGTGACCCTGTGAACCACAATGACCAGTGTGGCGTGATGCGCGCCTGGCTGCAATAGTGGCACAAACAGTATGGAGGAACCAGCCACTTTCTGGTTGAATTTAAGACCCCTTTCATAGACGCAAATGAAAGCACAGTACTGTAAATCTGGCCAAGAACCTACAGGTGGAGAACTCACCAGCCCCAGGAGAGACGGACATAGCATCAAAGCACGCTCTAACTGTGCCTCTCTCCCACAGGCCCTCGAGCCTCAGAGGCTTCTTTGTGCAGTGGGTTGTGGTTAATGTTCAAACGCACAGCTGGTCAGAGCACAGACAAGTGTCGACAGCACCCTTAGCCACAAATGGGACATCCACTTTGCGCCCCTCGCCTGCCTTCCAAAGCTTAGAAACTTTAGTGGAAGAGGAGTGAAAAACAAGAAAACAAAAAACTGGAAGCGCCACAGGATCAGGGAGGATGGAGAGAAACAGGTCTTCTGGACATGACAAGAGCTCTGTACTCAGGAACTCACTAGCAGCTGTGACTGCCTGATAAGACCTGCATTAGATCAAGTCAGTTAACACTCTAACATGAGCTGCCCTCATAACCCAGGTGCTACAGATAGTCAGTGGCTTCCGGGAAAAGGAGGGACAAGTTTTGAAGGGCGTGACTTTTGCGAGGTCATTCACGCCCAATGCACGGTCCTAGTCCATATCCAAGAGCACACAGGCAGCACGACTGAAATGGGGTTTTTGTCTGTCTGTCTGTCTATTTGTTTGTTTGTTTAATAAAAAAAAGCATACAAAATTGGGAGGAAGTGGGGACAAATTGGGTGAATCTGGGAGAAGCTAGAGGAAGAAAGGGGACATAACTATGATCAAAATACATTTCACAAAATTCTCAAAAATTAAAATACTTAAAAGTATGCCTCAGTGAGACTAAGTGGGTGAATTGTGACGTAGCCATGTGATGTGCAACATACTGCTATGAAGAGAGGCCAAGTGCTTCTGTGCTGAATGAAAGCCAGCAGACTATCAGTTCTCTCTCTCTCTCTCTCACACACACACACACTCACACACACACACACACACACACACACTCACACACACACTCACACACTCACATTTTCTAAATGGAATAATTACTCATATTTTTACCTGCTCCTATGGGGCGGGGAGAAAGAACAAGGGCTAATGTCTTCTACCTCAGTGCTGGGTTGGGTGGGATACAGTTATAATCTCAGCATTCACAAGGCAGAGGCAAGAGGATAGCCAAAAGTGGGTCTCCAGAGTGAGTTCTAGGCCAGCCAGAGCCACACAATTGGTCCTTGTCTCAAACAACAGTAACATTAACCAAACTTAGGCATTTCAATGCAGTTAGCTGAGTATGTTTAACCTTAAAGTCACAGGAATACTTACATGAATAAAAACCAAAACTGAGTTGGGTATAGTAGTACATGCCTAGAATTCCAGTGTTTAGGAGGCTGAGGCAGGAGGATGAAGAGTTTCAGGTAGCCTGGGCTATAGAGCAAACTCTATTCTCAAGAAAATGTGTGTATACAGGCATTAATGTCTTGGACAGACAAGACATGATGTCACTGTGACTAGAGCCCATACTAACGTCAGGTTCTGTGGCTCCCTCCAGGGCCACATGGAGACAGCAAGAGTGTCCCTCCTAGTACCCAGCTGGTGTAGCTAGGACAGGATGACCACCTGCATCTTCTAGAGCCCTCCTGCATGCTCACCGTGCTTCTCCTCATCCTCCAGGTCCCCTGCTGGCACCTGAGCAGAAAAGGAGAAAGATCAGCTATGCTGAATTTTCAACGCTTTTGTTAACTCACATAGCTAGATGGATGGATGGATAGATAGACAGACAGACAGACAGACAGATACAAAAAACTAAAGGAACTAGACAGCCTACTGAAAAATAGGAAAATCATATCTACAGAAACTGAAAAGCTGAAGTCCTAATTTTTTAAACATATTTATTAAAAAAGGGACTCTCTGGTAAACTAACCATTTCAATTTCTGAGATTTCTGCCAGCTGAGGGGCAGCTTCCACCACAAACTGCTCATCATCCTCATTGTCAGAATTCTGTGAGTCGATGATCACATTGGAGACAGTTTTACAACTTCCTGACCTAAGCAATAAGAGTCATTCACATTACAGTTGCCCATAAGCCACCAGATGTCATCAGTCCCATGAATCTGGAAACATCACAGTTATCAGAAAGGAGATGAACCGCCATCACCCCAGACAGGTGAAGGGAAATCTCAGGGAACAGTAGGAACAGAGAGAATACCACCTTCCACACAACAGCCTCCATGCTGCCCAGAGCTCTAGACCACCCCCGCCTCTACCTGAGCCTTGCTGGTTCTTCTGCTTCACAAACCCTTGACACCTTCCTGGTCGCTGACACTGGCTCTAAGACAGGGTGGCAGAGATGGCCCTGAAGGACACAATGACCGAAGACCTAACCTCTTCACAGGATGACAACTCTAGGCCCAGCCATCGTATCCAAAACTTCTGCGGTGTGTTCGGCTTTGCAGTTTCTTTTGCTTAACTTTTGTACAATTAATCCTTCAACTCTTTTTCCTTTCGTGCTTTGAAAGCTTTCTATCTAGAGTCAGGGAAATACCACCCAACCATGGCCCATGCATCCTGAGGTGTTCTGTCATAAACACATATATTTCCAGTCAGGAATGCATGCTGCTATATGGTCTAAGGCAATAGCCTGTCCCCACCTGTCTTCAGAAGGAAGTTTTCCCAGCACTGCCTGCTTTACCCACACCCAGTCTCTCAGCACAGGCCTAAGACCCCTGCATCCCATGGCCCATACACAAGAGAGCATGGCTCCAGGGTGACTAGAACCTCCTGACCAGGCAGCCTCACCTGTCTCCTACCAAAGTCTCGGTGCTCTCTTGTCGTTTGACCCTGGGAGGTGCTGGTCGTGCACTCCCAGGCCGAGGTATTCTTCTAAATAAATATTGGAAGGAAAAAAAAACAAAATATGAAATACATACACATTTCAAAGTGGACAAAATAAAAACCCAGGTCAGCATTAGCACTCAATCAAAGCCACTGTCACCTGACAGTCAGACACACTCGGCAGAGGAATGTGACTGCCCATAAGAGAGCACGGCTGCATATCAGAGCACGACAGACCTTTGACCCTCTGACGTTACTACAAACTATACCCAAACTGCTACAATGCTCCAAGCATGGTCATGTAACTCAGGTCCAAGAAAATGACGTCTTTTTGCTTACTTTATACACATAATTCCTTATGAGTTAGCACAAGTGTTGAATGGGCAGCAGACGCTATGGCAGGAAGCAACAGTTTGTCCCAGGGTGACCACACTCCCAAGCACTAGAGAAGGACACACCTGAGACTGGAGGAAAGCTCACTGGGGACTTCTGCATTCTCTGACACCTCAGGCTTATCTTGGCAAGTAGGTCCAGCTTCTCCTTCTGAACAGGTGACGATCCAATCAGCAACCCAAAAGGAATCCGGTAGTAACAAAAATCAATTTACTCAAATATAACTATCAACCAACTCAAACATAAATATGTGAAAAGGCCTCAATCAAATGACTGAAAACTTAAATGCACTCTTTTCATCCATCACTGATGAAGTTAAAAGACACATGTCTGACATCAAAATGTGGACATTTGGGGACACGGGCACACTCAAGCTCTGTTCAGAAACACTGGCTAACTAATCAAGGAAAATGGCAGCTAGATCCAGTCAGCAGCTTAACGCAAACACCTGAACCTAAGAAAAGGAACGGCACACATGGACAGACGGGGTGACAACCGCTCAGCCCATGACAGTGCGCTCACATGCCGGGCGCTTCACTCTAGCGTCTAACTAACCACACATCTGCCACACTGACACGTGTGGCCCTGCACGTGTGTGTGGTTCACTTAGAGACAATCCCACCACCAGGCGTCTTCCATTTTGCTACACTGGTCACCGCTTCTAAATTCTCTACACGGGGTGCTATATTCTTTTTCTGGTCAGTACAAAAGTTTGGTTTTGTTTATGAGACAAAGGCTTGCAATGAGGCCCTGAATGGCCTGGATCTCTAGTCTATAAAGACTAGGGTGGCCTCAAGCTCATGGAGGTCTACCTGCCTCCACCTCCCATGAACTGAGATTAAAAGTGTGCAGGCCCACCTAGCTAAAACAGTCTTTTCATTTCTTTTTAGTTAATTTATTTTTTATTAATTATAATTTAATCACTTTGTCTCCCAGATGTAGCCCCCTCCCTCGCCCCGTCCCAATCTCTCCCGAGTCTTTTCATTTTAATAAAAAGGCTAAACAAGCAAGTCACAAGTCCAAACTACTAAGACAATTTGTTCTACTCTTAGTTTCTATTTAAAGTAAAAGAAATTTATACTTTACAAAACAGTGAAGATAAGTTAGAATTTGAACGCTAGAAATAAACATTATATACTAGGAAGAACCCTGAAGTGTGCCCTTTTCAAAATTAAACACACACAAACATGTATAACACACATACAAGAGAGAAACTTTAAAACACAGCAAATTTATGTAAAATCTTATGGCCTATTTTCTTAAATGAGAGCTTGTGCTGCCACCGGCACACGCACGAGCACAGCACAGCCAGAGCTGCTCTCACCTGCATCGCTGGGGGAGTCGCCTGGAAGAGAAGAGCATCAGACAATTAGCCTTTGTGTAAGGGACCCAGCACAGCCAATCGCTGGGCAGTCAGAGCAAACACAGCCAAGGCCTGGGGACCTTCCAGGGACAGGGACCCTTGTGGCCTTTCTCTAGTGCCTCACCAGCACTCTGTTATGGTAACCAGCACCAGAACCACCGCACATTAAAAGGAGACTATGGCTGGGCAATGGGTGTGCACGCCTGGAACGCCAACTCTCAGGAGGCAGAGGCAGTCTGATCTTTGCGTTGGAGGCCAGCCTGGTCTACAGAGTGAGTTCCACGACAGCCAAAAAAAAAAAAAAAAAAAGAAGAAGAAGACAAAACAAAAACAAGAGAGAAGGAGAGAGGAAGAAAGAGAGAGAGAGAGAGAGGAAAAAGAAAAACCAGAAAAAAGGAAAGAGCAAAGGACTGTGGAGGAAGTATGCCACAGAGCCACGTGAAGCAAATGCTGACGTCACAAAGCCATGAGAAACATGCTGGTGTGACAGCTCGGGGCCATCAGGACCCGCAAGCTCAGCCCACCCTACAGAACTGGCAATACATCTCTACCAGCTCCCCGAGCCCTGACCTGCACCTTCACCCAGGGCCCTGTCTCTTCAAATGCTGCACTCTGCACAAACACTAAAGTGTGCACCTAAAGACTGGAGGTACCACAGACAGAGGATCACGTTTTAGGCTGTCTAAAGTCCTCCAAACAGGAGTGGCTTCGGAGCGGTAGCCTCTGAGCAGTGGCCCTGGAACCTGTTTCAGAGATTGTTTGTGGCACCCCTAAAACCACAAATGCTACCACTTCACACTCAGGCACAAGTGTCCTGCCTGTGCTACCAAGCAACGGTCTTAACTTATGGGAAAGACAGGAATGGGTCCCTTGCCACATCAGGGTACACTCAGCCCTGGCTGCACTCTGAGAAGACACTGGGGCCTAGCAGCTGGCTTCCTCTGGGTGCTTAGCCTCCTCCTACCAAGAGGTGCGAAGGGGTCATTCTTACCTTTCTGCTTTACCGCCAGCTCTGGCTCAGCGCTCTCCCGCCACAGACTAGCTGGGTTATCATCTGAAATACTAGTTCAGTTAGTATTGGCTTCTTGGATCTGACATAAAGAGTTCAAAGTTGGGCCCGGGACTGCACCGCGAAGGGCTTGTGACAACGTGGCTAAGAGGCTGCCCAGCATTTGGCGTGGGAAGTGTGCTTTCCCACACTTCCGCATGCCCAGGCTGACAAGGGTGGCTTTTGGTGCGTGGCTCTGGGACTGATGCAAGAGGAGCACCAAGAGCCTGGCCGGGACTTCAGGGCAGCTGGGATCTCAGAACTCCCCAGGCAAACAAGCTGGCCCCACCTCCCTACTGCTAGAGCCATTTTTACCAGCTCCGACCAGCCAGCCCTGAGAGCCAAGCTTCACACAGCTGGCACATCAGGAAAGAAAGAGAAAAAGGGAAATAACCTTTGTCCTGGTACACATCCTTCAGCACATTAAGGAGCCCCAAATACTTTCTGCCAATTATGATGTTCAAGTCTCAAAATTGGAAGAAATTCATAATGTGTGGAAAACAAAATTCTTCCAATATTAAAAGCAAAAGGGAAAAGAGGTGCTCATAGGCTACGCATGGCAGGAGCCTAACTCTGAAAGTGACCTGTCGCTCAAGGGCCCAGGGAAAACAACAACAGAGAACAGTCTGCTCCCCAAAACTCAACTGTGTAACTTCCTAAACCCATTCAAGGAAACAGTTCACACCACAACCTGCCATGAACTGTCAAATGGCCACTCTGGTTCAAAAGAATGAGATAATATGCTGCTGTGTGGCTTTAAAAGAAAATTTTTCTTCCATTTATAAAAATCCATGAAACACAGCCAAGGAGTGAGCATGACAGTCTAAGACCTAACAGCAGGCTGGTCCAACGGCTGCAGGCTGCCAATAGCCGGGAGTCACTAAGTCCAAGCTGTGTCGTTAGCCTTGGAAGTGCCAAGCATTTCTGCTCTACAAAAGTCAGCACCATCCTGACAAGTGCAGAAACACCCCATCTGTCTGTGGGGTGCCTGCCTTTCTTAGTGTATTGATTTTTGGGTGCGGTGCTGGGATTCAACCCAGGCCCAGCCTGGCACGTGCTAGCCCAGCATCTGCCTCTCTGCTCAGACACGTCATACACTTTTACCCTCCTCACGCTCTCCTGGTTTTGTTTCGTTGGGCTTGTTTGGTTTGGGAACTCTGTTTTGTTTATAGGATATAGCTTGCTTGATGTAGCCCCAAACTCAACATGCAGCCAAGATCCTCCTGCCTCCCGGCAAGTGATGGGATTACAAGCATTCACCATGAAGCGTAGCTTCCACAGTCCTCTTTACACTTTTTATTTTGGTTTTCTTCTTTGGGTGAGGGGATGTGATCCATGGGTGTGGACAAACACACGGAAGTCAGAGACAATGGTAAGAAGTCGGGTGGAAGTCAGTTCTTCCACCTGTATATGGGTCCTGAGGACTCAACTCCAGCCAGGTTCCACGGCTAGCACGTCTAGCCGAGCCACACTCTCCCGTACTCAGATTCTTTACGACTCTGTTGTTGTGCTGGTGCTTCCCATGGAGGTTAGCTACTGAGGCGAGGCTGCTGTTAAATCTAATGGCATAACCACATTTTCAGACGGTGGAAAACAGTTGATAAATAACTAGAACACAGCTTGGATTTTAAGTAATAATCAGAGAACAATCCTGTCCAGTGTGGCTGTGTCAGAGAATGCCTATTCTGGTATAATGGACTTGGGGACTGCCCGCTGAAGTGTTTCTAGAAAATTATCATGTTCCTTCTTGTACATTGTGATCAGTCCTAAAAGCACACAGCTAAGGTGAAGCAGTATGGACGTCTCAAACTTCACCTGAGGCCAGGGCACTGGGGAACTGCATTGTTGTACTTTTGATAATAGCAATAAAACAAAATGAGTGAAAAGTGAGTAAAATAAAACGGTGGCTTAATGCACCAGAAAAGGCAGGAAATGTCCATATAGAGAAACCAGCACACAAGGTCTCCCTACAACACAGCATGTAAGAAGCAGGTGTTCAACTCTTGTTGAGGTCATCAACACACCTGAAAAACTGAAGTGGTAACAAACCCACACGCTCTCCTCTGGCAGCCCACAGTAGCACCTGTCATGTGCAGGCCTGGCCAGCCAGCAGATGGCTGCTTTAGTTGAAAACACAGGCCAGGATATGGTGCAAACCTGCCACCCTAGCCAGGTAGAGGCAGAGGATCTTGAGTCCACAGCCAGCCTACTCTACATAATGAGATCCTATCTCAGAAAGAAAAAGGACTGGTTTCTCTCCGAAGACTAGAACTAGAAATGAAAGGCTGTCACAGGGAAAGGACACTCCAGCTGACACCAGGACAGTGGATCTGGAAATCAGACTCATGCAAGACACTGAAGAAGTAACAGCTGCTGGTAAATTCCATGACAGCGACCAGGCAGGCAGGGTTAGTTCCTGCCTGAGGCCTGTGCAGTAGCAGAACACAGTGGCAGAAGGTCGGGGAAGAGGTGCCGGGGCACTCCTGAGCCACGGCTCAGCCTCTGGCCACTGACCTAAACCCACAGTGGCAGCCCTGCTACCCAGGGGCGGCAGAGAAGCCAAACCCTGATCACCCCACAAGGGGGCAGTATGGGAGCAGCACTCTGCTCACTCCACCAGGGGGCACCAGGTTTCACTCTCATCTACAGTTTATACTTAAAAACAGAACTTATGTTTTCAAACTTGTAGATAAGATTTATAAACTGTTCAATGTAAGCCTAAGAATGGTTTCAACTTATTTTAAATCAATGGTCCCACTGGGCTGTCAGTTAGATGGATTCCATCTAGCTCACTCTCAGAGAAAGTATCTTCATACCCACATGTAATGAAGAGCACAATGGCACAAGAACACGGCTCAAGGAATCACCTGAAAGCCTGCTCCAGGCCAGGTGGGTAGCAGAAGAGGTGGGAATCGTCTACTGGTCTTAAATGATTCCCAAGTCTAAACAGACAAGCCTCCCTCCCAGTTCTCACCACCACCTCTAAAGGGGGAACCCCAAATAAAATATACTATAGGAGACATTCAGTGCAGACCCCTGCCCTCCACATGCACACACATGCCCAGATCATACATGCAAAAATAAAAACAAACTGTACAAAATCTGGAAGATACAAAGCAAGTTGAGCCTGGAAAAATGTTATCTTCTCCTAAAATCAAAACTGGCATCATGTTTTCCCTTGAGTGCAGCTCACGGATTCTGTCTCTAGAGTCTATGGTTTAAAGCCTACGCAGACTGGGTGCCTGGCAGTCAGGGTGACCCTGTATACTTTTTTCCTCTCCAGCCCTAACTGTACTGAGTGTCACAATGTGTCATGTTCATGCTCTTTAAGGCCTTTAAAAAAAATGTGTTTATACTTATAATTTGGTGTGTGCATATGCGTGTCTTTGTTGGAAACAACACACATGTTGAGGTCATGTGACAACTTTGTGGGAGTCAGTTTTCTCTTTCTACAATGCAAGTTCCAGGAATCAATCTCAGGTTGCCAGGATTGGCCGGAGACATCTTTACCTGCTGGGCTGTCTCACTGACCCACTTTTTAAGGCTTTAATGGTAGAGAATTTGGAATGAAACAAGACAGAGGCAATGAGAATATAGAAACGTAACTCCTCTGTGGAGCAATCAACATTATCTTACTATCAGTATCAAGAGGAGCAAAATGCCTTGACTCACACCTTCCATGTTATGCACATACACTGTACCTGTCAAACACATGTAATGTACTTATTATGTACATGTAATATACAGATAGGCAAGTAGCTAGGCATGGCGCACGCCTGCCTGTCATCCCAGCAACTGAGATGCTGAGGCAGGAAGGTCACTGTGAGTTTGAGACCAGCCTGGGCTATAGAATGAGATGTTCTCTCAAAAAAAGAAAAGAAATGGGAGGGGGCTTAAAGGTTTACTTCAAGCTGGCTTAGTAAAATTATCATGGAACTTAGCAAGATAAATCAAATTTAACAGTAAGTCATGTCTCTGATCCTTGGCACACGGGGAAAGCATGAACATTAAAGTGCTTGGAATAAAGCACTCTGCAGCTACGCTGACATGTAAACATTCTGTATCAAAATTGTGAAGAATTTAAACTGAAATGTAGGTTCTCTCTTAACAGCAACACTGACATGAACTGTTTCGTGTCGTCACCGCAACTGAAAGATGACTGAAGTAAACTGAAGGATACATTTCTCTTACCTATTTCTGAAGCTGTCGTCTCCTGATCTGGCTCGTCATTTAGTCCCGACACTATGGAGTCTAAAATCTTAGCTGAAATATTATCCTCTTTCCTTCCTGACATAAAACAGTTAACAGCAGATTAAAATGCTGTAAGGAGTTTCATACTTGGGTCGCTTTAGTTGGGATTTACAGGGCTACTATCAGGGTCACCAGCAAACTGCCTTGTCCAACCAGTGCTCGACTCTCAGCTGCCCCAGGACATCCCTCAGAAGACTGAACAAGATACCCTCTCTCCTCTCCGACATGTCCTTCCTCAGATGTCAGGTCACTCTCTCCAGCTTTTATCTAGAGCCCCCACCTTCCAATCTTGCTCTCTGCTTCTCTACCCACCTGTGTTCACCACCATCCAAAGGCTACACTGACCATCACTGCAGACTAAGGGCCCTCATCTGTGCCCTCACCTCCTGTTTCCATGGCTCTCCCTCACCACAGCCTAAACAACCCATACTTTATGCACACAGATATGCACAATCTCCACTTGCTGCAGACATCCCAAACCTGATTGTCCAGAGTTCTTGGCAATGCCATCTGACCTACCAACCAGCACCTCCACCCCAAGTCTGCCAGAAGGTTCCTCCCTGTGAGTTCTTTCTTTCCTAACTGGTGGCATCCAATACGTCATCTGTACTGCCAATCGAGCCTAACACTCAGCTGCTCCCATCATGACACCGATATTTCTCACCTTCAATCACTGTCATGTCTCAGTGCTACAAACTTCTCACTGTCCTCCAGCCTCCACTCCCACCCTCCAGAGCCAAATCTCATCTCTACCCTGTGAAAATCCCACCAAGGCCTTCTGCTCATACCTGCAGTCCACACAGCCAGAAAGACAGTTTCTCAGGGCCTGCCAGCTGATACAGGCCCTTCTCCAACCACTCTCCCTTTCTCCACTCTAGCCTACAGCTGGGCTTCCGCCATGCATACAGGCAAGCCTGCAGCAGCTCATGGTCTCTCCTCAGGGCCTGCTACAATGCCTCTCTCTCCCCAGGCAGCTCTAAACAGAGGCCTGGCTCAGTGAGGCTCTTCTTGCCTGAGTCTCTCATCCCTGCTTCTCTTGGGTTCATTTTCCTTCAAAAGAATTATCACTAACACAAGTTTGTACTCCAGCAGTCTCTTTATACTTTGAATTCTGTCCAGGAAAGAAAGGAGGGTTCAAATGGGCAACCTCAGTCCATTAGAGCAGGTCATGGCAGCTCACTGGGGCACCCCTACAGAGCCCATCTACTATAGCCTGGGAGACCCCCGGGCCCGAGGCCAGAGGCCATGCAGTGGCAAGCCCTGAGTGGCCACCCTCTGTGGTCAGAGATAACCCAGAAGCAAAAGACCAGACAATGACTAGCTCCACTCACAGACACTCACTCCCCAGCCTCACTACTGCTCATGAGATCTTACCAAGCTGCTTCATGCTATGGTCCTTCTTAGCTTTACGGTAGGAAGCGTTATGTTCTTTTTCAGGGGAAAGGCTATTTTCATTGGCTCTAGAGTCCCTTCTTCCTGACATGAAATTGCACAATGGAAATAAATGTTAAACTTACAAATGCTGCAGTTACCATGCAAGTGAACTAAGATGAATTCAGTAAGTTCTGACATAAAGAACTGCTTCTGAGTAAGTATCATATTCTCATGCCAAGCCTCTTAAGTGCTATAGTGGTTCCAGAAGGGCCTTGGGAGTCTATTTATGCCCAACACATGTGCCCGAATCCTTTGTTCTTTGTAATGGTTGCAAATCTTATACTGTAAGCAAAACACCCATGCCCTGTGTCCTGGGCACCTCTGTGTCAGGACATTAGCTCAACTGGTGGCCCACTCAAGACAGAATGTCTTCTGCGATGCCAGCTTTGCTGAGGGAAGGGCCTCTGGTGAGCCAATGCCTGGCTAGTGAGAGGGTCAGATCAAAGTTGACTGAACTGCTGCCAGCTCAGGGAAGGTTACGGTCATAATTCCTGCAGGTCCCTGATGGTAAATTCTCTCGGGGATCACAGAAAAGAGGAGACACAGAGAAGAGAGAAGAAGAGAGAAAAGACAGACAGTGTCACAATAAAACACTAAGCATCTACAAACTACCAAGTATTAGACAGAAGGGTGTGAAAATGCACGCCTGTAATCCCAGCTCTAGCCTGCTGGACTACAAAGTGTGTTTGAAGCCAGCTACAAACAAAACAACCACGGAAAAGCAGGGTGAGGAGTTAAAAAGACTCCCAAAAAATCAAATTAAAACAACACAAGGTTATTAACAATCACCTCAACTAAATGACACCCCAGCACATTACACACAGCCGACCAACTTCCTGAATTATGGAAGACGTAGTTAACACGTCGTGAAAACCTGACAAGTCAGTCTGCTTACTTTATGGGAGTAGGGTAAATACGAGTGGTAAATGGATTTTTAAAAATTATCTGAAAGAGCCAGGTGGTGGGGGCGCATTTAGTGCTCAGAAATGCAGAGGCAGGAGGACCTCCATAAGTTCAAGGCCAGCCTGGTCTACAAAGTGAGTTCCAGGATAGACAAGGCTACACAGAGAAACACTGTCTCAAAAAAAAAAAAAAAAAAAAAAAACAACCCTACCTGAAAGCAGCACTCAGGAGGCAGAGGCAGAGGAGTCTGTAAGTTCAAGGCCAGCCAAGGCTACATAGTGAGACTTTGTCTCCAAAAACAAAACAAAAAAGCAGTTTAAATAAAACTTATTTTAAAAGAACAATGGCAGGAAGCAGGTAGGAACAGAAGACATGGTGTCCCAGAGGCCAGGGAAGGACAGTTAGCCAGGAGACCATCCTCACTGACCCAGAGCCTCAGCTTACACCATAAATTAAAATAAGGAATTTATTCAAAAGGCTAAAGAGTAAAAATATCCAATAAAACATGTTTTCGTGTCTTAAATGTTAGCCATATAACCAAAACCCACAAGTAGCTAAAATATGAAGCACTTAGGCAAGAGAGACCCAGTCCAGTGAAACAGAACTGAAAAACTAAAGAATGTTTAAACACTGTAAACATCCTAACAAGTTCATGAAAATGGGCACACAACTGGACCCCACAGGAGTCAGGCCAGTGAAACAGGCACATCTGAGCCACCAGAGAGCTACAACAGGGGGAAACACAGTCTCACTAGGAATTACATTCCCACCTGTACCTGTGAATCTGGGAAGCTTCGAGGCACCGGAAGGGGTGGGGTGAGCTGTCCATGGGGCCTGTGACTAAGAACCACCATCACCCTCACCCTCATGCCAGCGCTGCCCCGTGAGCATCTCCCACAGACGGCAGACACAGGAAAAGGCTTTTCAGCACAAGAGGTCGCCACTGCATCTCACAGGCTGGGTGAGAGGTCACTGCTGAAAGAAAAGCCCCAACCGCCATATTCCTGTCGCTGATGATGCCACAGGTTAGGAAGACAGTGATTTTTCCAGAACTACTACTGCTCAGCCAAAGCCACTTCGCACTTCAGGGAAGTCAGTAAGCCTCCAATACCAGCAGCTGTCCCAGGCTCCCCAAAGCTCTCTGTCATGTCTGCTGGTCTGCTGAGCATACCCCAGGCCAGGCCTGTGAGCTCAGCTCTCAACATGATTCCTTCTTCAAGTGCAACAGCATCTGCCCCTGGGCTCTGTGTCCGATCTGCAACAGGCTAAACTCTCTCTGCCAGAGTGGAAGAGCCAGTGAGACCGAGATGACTGACAAGGAATTCAGAAAAGGATGTCAACAGGTTCTCCTGCCATGGCTGGTGTACGCTTGCACATGTATGCACGCCCCTCTGTAAACATGAGCAGGAGCCACACTGTCCAGTTTCATCGCCTACTTCTCCCAGTGTGGCACTGCTGTGCTCCCTAGGATCTCCTTCTGCTACACTCTGGCCAGACACAGAAAGGCCGGCCTACATCTCAGCTACACGCTCAAGCAGCTTGCAATACCTTCCAGGCAATTCTTAGATCGCCGTTTTGATGCTTTCGATAACGAGGTCCTGGATGTTCCCACAGAAATCTCAACCTTCAGGAAGAGAAGAAAAGGAATGACTTAGGACACCGTACATCAGCTCTACCGGAACTTACTTCTCAGACTCTGCTGAAAGAGTGTGATGTTGTGTGACCACACCCCCAACCTGAGGTGACAAGTGGAGGCCCTCAAACCTCCTTGCCCTGCAATTAGATCTGTCTGTGCCACTTACCATGAGAAACAGTGTGAGATGCACCTAGAAGGGGCCTGCCTCTGTGGCCACACAGTCCTAGAGCTCAAGGACAAGACACTAGTCAAATTGTGCTATGCAATAGGTGATTTCCTCACTGACTCAGCACCTCAGGGTGTAGAATTTGCACTGACTAAGATGCCCTAGTGTTAATTAGAACAGGTGTGAAGGCACACACCTCTAATTCCAGCACTCAGGAAGCAGAGACAGGCTAGTCTCTTGAGTCTGAGATTGACCTGGTGTAGAGCAAGTTCCAGGACAGCCAGGGCCACACAGAGAAACCCTGTCTCAAAAAAAAAAAAAAAAAAAAAGAAGGAGGAGGAGGAGGAGGAGGAGGAGGAAGAAGAAGAAGAAGAGAAAGACATTGCTTCCACCAGGTGGCCTGTGGGCATGTCTGTGGGGCATCTTCTGGATCGCTGAGTGATGTGGGCAGTACAACCTGTGGCAGGTAGGCTGGGACTACAGAAAAACAGCTGACTGGGAGCCTGAGAGCAAGGCAGCAAGCATTGTTCCTTTACGGTTCCTGCCTCCAGGCTCCCGTGACAGATGACAGACTGCGATGTGGAAGAATAAGGCAAATAAGCCCTCACTTCCCCCGGGTCGGTTTTGGTCAGTGTTTTATCATGGCAATGGACAGCAGACATAGACAGACAGACAGGCTGACAGGCAGGCTGTTTTTAAAGGTTACCTCCATCTCTGCTTTGGCATCTTTGAAAGATCCATCTGACAACTTTTTAGACACCTCTCCTGAGCTGGCTGACTGTAAAAAGAAGAAGAATCCTTTTTACACTCCAGAATTGTTAAAATCTGTAATATTTACAGAAAGAAAACCAAGATACAGTACATGACCCTGGGGAACAAACAAGACCATCTCTCACATGATAGCACATCGCCACTCTGGGTTTGACAACCATGTTATTCTGCCTACAAGTCCCAGGAGTCTTCTAAGAAAATTGCAGGAGACCTAGAGACACCATTGGGCATGTAGGGCCTCTGAGGAAATCACACAGGACACCCAAGATCCAGGAGTCTGTGGTGGTGTGACTGCCAACCCACCCCTGTCTTCTGAGCATCTCCTGCTACTAGAGTAAGCTCAGATGGAAGGACTCATTATAGCACAGGTGAAAGCACTGTCAGGGACCATGTGAGTGCTGCAAATACCTTCTTATTCCGTAAACCAGTTCTCTGAAAGATCTGGACTAAAGGAGACAGTCTGCCCTCACTGAATTCATGATGAAGGTATGGAATGGGATCATTAGTAATTACTCAGTCAGGGCAGCCTCACATTCCCACAGCCCTAGCTCTAACCTCAGAGGGCAAAGGCTGAACCAGCAGCTTAGGCTCTGGTGCCGCCTTGGCACCCGGCTGACTGCACACGTGTTTGCACCTTTCTTCACCAAAATCTACCAGGCAACTTGAGGCCATCTCCTCCTTCTAAACAGAGAGTAAAAGGAGGGCTGGGAACTGGCCAGGGCAGAAGTGACTGTAGCAAAACACGAGTGGGGTCCTTTGTGAGGGGTCTCACAGTAGCTCACATATCTGCAGACACTTCCAGCCACAGTGAACTTTACTATTGGTTCCCCAGATTCACAGCGCTCAATAAAGGCACCTCCAGATCAACAACAGACAAACCAGATAAACAAAACCACGAGATCTCAGCAAACTGAACTTCACTTGACTGTGTTCTCCTGTCCTTTGAAACAAAACCACCATCACTTGCTCTTGGCCCTTATCCAGACAGCCCTCTTTGGAACTGCCTTTCTCTGTGAGAGACTCAGCGTCAGCAGCGTTAGTGAGCATAACATGGGGATGCTTCATCTGCAGTTACAAAATACAACAGAACACACTAGTGCCTCTAAAAGCCCAGCTCAACGAAAACTGTCTTCTTAGGACACTAAAAAGAGGTAACAATAAGAAATAACTGATTTCCAAAACTCACCAAGGAACCCAGGTTGTTATGACAAGGGTACATTATAATACCAAGTACAATACTCCAGGATGTGTAAAAGTGAGGGAGGTTAAAGTGACTTAAATAGCAAACATACAAGTAATTGTCCAGCAGAACACTAAACACAACTAGCAGTGAGGCCATGACGGTCTCATTGCACCAGATCCTGAGAAGGAAACTCACTGACACCCACAGGCAGTCACAAGATACCAGCAAGGCTGGTCCTACAGAACCCATTCCCCTCCCAGTCACATGGAGATGCAACACAGAGCAAGACACTGCCATAGGTGGGTTTAGAACCCACCCAGATCTCGGGTGTCCCGTGGCCTGCAGCTGCAGAGCAGGTGGCAATCAGCCTCTCTAGGATGCTTTGCCCACACTGGGCCACTAGGACATCTGGACAAGGACCACTAACCTACGAAGGTTGATCTCCACTGGGATCTAGAGTCACCTGTGAGAGGAACCTCTGCACATGGGATGAAGGATTATCTAGATTTAACTGGACTAGGAGGGCGTGCCGACTGTGGGCGGGACTGCTTCCTGGGCAGGGGTCCCCGGCTGAGGATAAAGAAAAGGTGAGCTGCTTCAAGACTGTGCCAAGTCTCCAGGGCCTGCTGTCGTATCCTCTGCCAGACTACACCCTGGAACCTAAGCCAGAGGAAACCCAAACTTCCTTAAAAGTGTTTCTTGTGAAGTATTTGTCAGAGCACTGGGAAAAGTGACTGGTGTGTGTTCCATATACAGGGCCAGTCCAAAGTCACCTGCACTCAGGAGGCAGTGAGCAGCTGAGGAATTTTCTGGCCAACCTTAATTGTACTTGAAAATGTCATGAAACATGAATTACAGGAAAATGGAAGTCTTGTAAAAAAAAAAATCTTTGAAAGTAGGTCTAATCCTTAATAGGCCCAGTTATTGTCCATGCTCCAAGGGAGACCACGCCTACAGGTGACATCACCTGTGCGTGTGGCTGACAGTGCCAAGGCAAGGGCATCGGCCTTCAGAAACAGCCAGGCTCCAGTGTATGATGACAGCAGGCAAAGGACCTTTGAATCATCTAGCAAGACAAAGCAAGGCCAATGGCAAACGGCTCCCGCTCCAAGCTGCTGCCCTCTCTATAGGCCTGGCAAGGAAACATCAAACTCTGAAGACAGATGACATTTGACAGCATGATTCCCTGCCTTCCTCCATGAATTCACCTTCCAGCACTCCAGATACTTCTTAAGACACCATTAACTGATCAACACCATCCAGAGTTCACGACCTGAAGAACCCACAGCCTTGCCTGGAAGCTTGATTCACTCCTTCACCTAGTGTCGACTGCGTACCCACTATGCGCCGGCACTCTATTAGGCCAGGAATCCAACAACGAACATTAAGTATCACCACAGTATGTGCTTAAGGATATTTTAAATGTTTGAAAGCTTACAATAATGCCAAGTTAAGTGGTTGAACTACAATTATAAGTGGCAAAAACATTTAAAGTTTTTAAAAACTGGGCCAGTAAGATGGTTCAGTGGGTAGAAGCATTTTTCATGCAAACCCAGCAACCTGAGTTTGATCTCCAGAAGCCAGGATAAAGGAAGGCGAGAACCAATTCTGAAAAGTTGTCCTCTGGCCTCCACACTGTGGTGTGCACACACCCACATTTACACACACTTCATACACCCATACATAACAAAAATTAAAGTATAAGTAAAAAAAATTGTTTAAAGAAAAGACACCTGGCAAGAAACTGGTATCTCTTTGAATTACTTTAAAGAATCAAAGACCAGCCACAATTCACAATCCCAAACTTTCCAAAGTCCATTATAAGGATGAAAGGTGTACCGCCTGGTTTTATGTCAACTTGACACAAGCTGGAAGAGAGAAAAGGAGCCTCAGTTGAGAAAATGCCTCCATGAGATCCAGCTATGAGGTGTTTCCTCAATTAGTGATCAGTGGGAAAGGCTCAGCCCATGGTAGGTGGTGTCATCCCTGGGCTGGTGGACGGGTTCTATAAGAAAGCAGGCTGAGCAAGCCATAGGAAGCAAGTCAGGAAGCAGCGCTCCTCCATGGTCTCTGCATCAGCTCCTGCCTGCAGGTCCTGCCCTGCTCCAGTTTCTGTCCTGACTTCCAATGGAGAACTATGATCTGGAAGTATAAGCAGAATAAACCCTTTCATCTCCAACTTGCTTTCTGGCCATGGTATTTTGTCACAGCAACAGAAACCGTAAGACAACAGGTGCAGGAGCTGAAGAGATGCTCAGTAGTTAAGAGTACCTACTAACAAAAACAAACAAATCAAAAGCCAGGCAGTGGCAGCACCCGCCTTTAACCCACCACTTGGGGAGGCAGAAGCAGGCAGATCTCTGTGAATTTGAGGCCAGGCTGGTCTACAAAGTAATTCCAGGACAGACAGAGCTACACAGGAAAACCCTGTCTCAAAAAACCAAAACCAAGCAAGCAAGCAAGCAAAGCTCCTGCTAAGTCTTGCAGAGAAGCAGAGTTCTATTCTCGCACCCATACATCAGGCAGCTCACAATCACCTAGCCTCCAGCATACATGACACACATTCACGCATACACGCAAAAAGAAAAAAATTAAAGTCTTCTAAAGGCAAAAGTAGGACAGATGCCGTTTTAGAGAGCACATCCTGCTCTCCCTCAATGGGCCTTGGAGATGGAGGAATGGGTTAGGCGAGCTCCCAGCATCCACACGGCAGCTCAAGCCTTCCTGGAACTCCAGCAGCAGCTGTGGAGATTCCCTCTCCTACCCTTCAGGGGGTCTGCACAGACATGGTGCACATAAATTCATTCAGGCACACACAAAAACATGAAAATAACAGACAGACAGACAGATCTAAAATAAAAAAGAAGTCTTGGTGGCGACCATGCCTTTTTTTCTGGTTTGTCTGCATCTCTGCTTTTCTCCCTGTCAGGATCCCGGGAATGTTCTCCGTTCTTGGATTTCCGCCGTTCCCGGTCTTTTCCCTTGTCTCGGTCTCGGTCCTTCAGCCTCTCTTTTTCTTTCCCACCCTCACCCCTCCTGTCCCTGTCCCTCTCTGCCTCTCTGTCCCGGTCTTTGCTGCCCCTGTCCCTGTCCTGCCTGGCCCGAGCTCTGGCTTTCTCTCGCTCTCCCTCTCTGTTTCTGTCCTTGTCGGCGTCTTTGTGTCGGTCTCTGTCAGACTCCTTTGGCTTCTCCTTGTCCCTCTCCCTGTCCCTCTCCCGTGACTTGTTCTCGTCCTTCAGTTCCTCCTTCTGCTTGTGCTCTGCACTTGTGCTCCTCTCCTTTACCTCAGAGCTTCTTTTATCCTGAAAAAAAAAAAAAAAACATACATGTCTGTCATTGTTAATATTGTCCTTCAATTATAAAGACTTGCTGTGTCAGAAGTGTGCAACCTACACTCACCTCTTTATAAGTTCTGGACTCTTCCTCCTTCACATTCTTATTGTCAGACTCATGTGCTTTGGAGGTCCGTAAGGCCCGTCCTCTCGAGTCCCCCTTCTCCCCAGCTAAGACTCTCTTCACTGCCTCATCACTGGAGAGCTTGTAGGCCATGCCAGGGAAGGGAAAATGATGTTAGCACGTACAAACAATAAAAGTGCAGCATTCAAGGACAGTTCATTAAACAGATTTTCTTCCTACCATGAAGGACATTTAAAGAATAAAATATTAAACGAAAATGTTAGTGACAAAGTACGGCATCTGACAGCTTTACTAACGACACAAGCTAATCCTGCCACCCCTCCACCCAAACCATCAGTGTGGACACATGTGTGGTCCAGTAACCCAAGCTGCAATACAAATATCTTCTCACAGAATCCCAGGATCCAATCACCACACATGTATTAGTGCAGCTATTTCAGAAGAAATTTAAAAATTATACGATGAGGGAAAAGTGGAGCCGGGGAACCAGCATGGTGCCATCCTCTGGAAAACAGCCTGGCAGCTCCTCACAAAATTAGACAGAACAGTCAGGAGACGCAGCTACTGCACTCCTGGCTTAACACCAAAAGAACTGAAAACCTGTCTGCAGAGACAGCTCCAGTCTACACTCCGAGTGGCACCATGGATAACGGCCAGAATGTGGAAGCAGCAGATGCCCCTTAACAGACAGCAGCTAAACAATGCCATCTACCCACTAACAAAGCGGGGAGAACACTGACCCATGATGGGTGGATGAGCTCTGAGGCCCCACTAGTGAAAGGACAGACACTACCACATAGGCGGACAGTCAGACTCACGGTAGCAGAGAGCGGAAGGTTGCCACTGGGGTGGGAGGAGGGGGAGGCGACAGTACATTCGCATCTGATGGGTACACAATGTGAGTTTTGCAAATGAAGACTGTGCCACAGTGATGGCCACACATCACTGATGCATTCAAACTACAGAACTTACGCCAACTGAGGCAGCTATTACCTCAAGCCCCATCAAAAGCACATTCTGGCTGCGCACCCTCACAGCCACCCAGGGCACTGGCAGCTCTCAGCAGCAGCCCTGCACACTCATACACCTGCTCCAAAGGAAAGCATCCCACAGCAGCTCTGCCAGTCCAGGACAAGCGCCTCCCAGGAGGGCCTCTACCTACCTTGTTGAGACAGCACTTGCCAATCAATTGAAGCAGCTCATTGGTTCTCTCCGGTTCATGCCCAGCCACAATTTTAGCCGGTTTTGCTGCCAAGGGTTCTCCTGACACCATTATGACCACATCTATGGCCTTCTGTAGAAAGCTAATTTTTGCGTCTTTATCCTGAAATAGTTCCATGTAAGAGACAAACATTAAAATAAGTACTTCGGGGCTGGAGAAATGGCTCCTACAGTAATTGAAAGCGTACAGCGCTCTGACAGAGGACCTGGGACGGAGAGAGTGTAGGGAGCACTAAGGGATTTGGAGGGAGGCAGTGGCAGATGGATCTCATCAAAACACACTGCATAAATGTATGAAATTTTCAAAAAATAAAAAATATTTTACAATAAAATGTTGATTTTTTGTTTTGTTTTGGTTTGGTTTATGTTTTTTTGAGACAGGATTTCTCTGCTTGTAGCCCTGGCTATCCTGGAACTCACTCTGTGGACCAGGCTGGCTTTGAACTCAGAATGATCCCCCTACCTCTGCCTCCTGAGTACTAGGATTAAAGGTGTGTGCCACCATGCCCAGCTCCTAAAATTGTGATTTTTTTTTATTTTATTTTTCTTTTTAGTTACATTTTGTTAACTCTGTGTCGTGATTTTTTTTAAACAAATACTTTGAAGTGTTTGTACTATCCTCAGTATCAATAGGCACAAAATGGCTTTTCTTTATATTCACAACCATTTTTAGATGTATGACAAATTCAGAATTTCTGACTTTTCATAACCTTTTATGAATTTTCATTGTTTACACAAAAATCTACTTAGTCAAGTTTCCAATGCCACTAATGGGCTAGCATTAACCAAAAGAACAATCTGGTTTTGGCTTGTTTCTGAGACATGGTCTGTGTGGCTAGACTGGCTTCAAACTCATGACCCTCACGTCTCAGCCTCCCAAGCACCAGGAACACAGGTGTGCACCACCGTGTCTGGGTACTCGCTGGGTCCACGCTGGCCTTGAACTTGCAGCAGTCCTCCTGACTTCGTCACCTGAGTGCTGGAATTATGGCTACGCATCACCACCCCTGGTGTAATTCTGTTTTGTTGCTGTTGCTCTTTCTGTTTGTGTATATGTAGAGATGTATGTACGTGTGTATTTCTGGGAGTGCAAATGTGGGGGTTGTTGCAGATGCACACACACGCACACACGCACGCACGCACGCACACACACACACACACACTCCTGTACATGTGGAGGCCAGAGATCAATGGCAGGTACCATTCATTCCTCAAGAAACCATCTACTTGGTGTTCCGAGACAAGGTCTCTGGGTCCTAAAGCTCAACTATTTCGCAAGGCTAGGTGGTCAACAAGAACCTCTCCAGCTCTGGGATCACCAGCACACACGGTCACACCCAGCTTTTCACGTGGGTGCTGAGGTATATAACTCAGGTCTGTGTGTTTGCATGGCAAGCACTTTGCCAACTGAGCTATATCTCCAGCCTCTAATTTTGTTTTTCAGGAGATAAATATAGCATAGTATGCAGTTGCCACAAATGAGAAAATGAAACAAGAGAGTATACGTAACTCAGAAATCAACCAGCCTAGAAATTGCTTTGTAACCCAGGCTGGTCTCAGACTCAGGATTTTTCAACCATCCATCAGCACAGACATGATACACACTATAGCCTGCAGCCTGTACAATATGCTCTATTCTGGAGGGCAAGAGTGTGGAGAAAAGCGCCCACAGCAGAGCCTACCTTGACGTTATCTGACTTCATCTCCACATCTGTGTAGAGGCCCTTCATGAAGCCAGTTATCCTAATCACCTGCCAGGAACAGAAAGGGACCATCATGCACACCTCACTTGGCAGCTCCTTCACTGAGCTCACCCACTGAACCCCACTCTCAGGAGAGGCCAGGACCCAGTCACACACACAGCTCTAACTGCTTCATCCTTAATAGAGGTTTGATGCCTACTAAGTGCAGGGCCCAGGCTTCAGAGAATAGCCAGCTATGAAGACAGCCAACTCTACCAACACTGAGTAGGTGATGGGACATTCACAGTAGGGGCGGGGACAGCTTTCCACGGAGGACAGACCCTGAGAGGAAACAGCTGGGAAGCACACGCTGAACAAAAGAAAACTACCACCAAGTTGGAGCAAAAAGGCCCCAGCAAAGGGACCAAAGCCATGTGGGGTAGCAGGAGCCCGAGGCTGGCCAACATTCACACCAGGCCTGGCTACAGTCCCTTTGCAGCAACTTGGAACCACAAACCAAAGCACTCCAAGAAGACACAAATAGCTTTTCTATAGCAGAGGCCTGACCACCCAGCCCCTCTCCAATGCACTCAGGCCAGACCAGAGGGACAGACTCTAGAAAGAAAGGGGCTACTTAGCGTGGGTATCTAAAACCAGAAGTTCTACAACAGCCTCCCATCTCTTACTAAATGGAGTGTTCCCCTGTCCAACCACATTTATTCTCTCCTGGAGTGCTCCTCCCCACAGGTAACCTGGAGCCCTAGCTACCCCTAAAGAAGGACACTGATTTTCTATTCCTCTACACCCTACATCCGGCCAGGGTCCCAGATTCCCAAGTGTACGTTCCTAAAAATCAGTAAGACAGGCGGCAACAGCATTTTCAAGAAAACAGACAGCAGAAGACATCGGGGTGTGAATGTGGTGCTTAGTGAGGCCAAGGGTGGCCAGGCATGTGGTACGCGGCAACACCGTATCGGGAGGCTGGCTCTAAAAACATCAGGCAGCAGTAAAGCTCCATGTGAAGGCACCTCCTCCTCTGGGGTGGGGCCACAGCTACTCTGACTGCATTGTCCTAGTTGTCAATTAATCGTGAAGAGTCCATCCCATAACAAATGACTGGAGAGCCACAGTGGTGGGCTGGGCTTGTGCTGGGTCATTTTGAGAAGACAGCCGGTACGTGGACCACCAGAGCATCTTGATCTAACATTTTAAGAAGACAGCCGGTACGTGGACCACCAGAGCATCTTGATCTAACATTCCTGAAACTGACTTTGCTCAGGTTTTCCCAGGATGCTGGCAGTTTAAATTGTGAGCAGTAACTGTGATGAGAGACATTCACGTCCCAGAATGGAGGCTTACTTAATAAAGTAAGCTAACTCATGAAGGCGATTTGGATGCAATGTTCAGGGAGAATAAAGAGCCTTCCAGGAGGCTCTCCACCTGCAATCTGAAAATATGTCAACTCTGACCCCCTTCTCAAGGAGGTGACGCTGGCGTGCTTCTCTTTATGCCGGAACAGACTGGCCTCACCACTGTACTCAGGAAAGTCCATAGGAAAGCAGCCCTCACTCCTCATCTCTACCTAGTCAGCCGTCAGCTTCCACTTCAGCGGTCCTCCTCCCTCCCACCAGCTTCCGTCCATTCCTGAGTGATCTCAGGATGAGGCAGGCGTACGGCAGGTAAGCCATTAGCTGACGGCACTAACAGAAGAAAAGCACAGGTTTGGCAGTCTCCACCATGAGAGGCCGGCACCACATTGGCTAACAATTCTTGGCTCCTTCTTGTCAGAGTGTAGCAACTGCCGGCTTTGCAGGGCTTTCTACACAGCCAGCCCCTTCCTCAAACCTTCCAAAGCAGCAAGTGCTTCGCAGTCTGGGAGAGGAGCCTACGGGGCTGCAGAGCCCCCTTGGGATGTGGGTCAATTCCAGGGCACTTCTAGACACACCTAAGATGAGAGGACAGAGCCACGGTCCATGACGGCACCCATGACCAGCTAAAATAGGAGGGCCAAAATGAGGAAAGCAAAAGGTGGACTAAAAGGCTCAACCTGCTGAGTGACAGGAAAAATTATGAGGGGCCAGCATCAGTGGAGACCTTGAGCTCTGGAGACTGACTTCTAAGTCCCAACCACACCCCAAGTCCCAGAGCACCCTCTGAAGCTCCATGCCAATTGCATTCACCCCTACAGCGATGCTCTGGAGTTACCAAGAGCCCTGACAGCCTCCACACAATTGTGACTGTTGTACAATGCCAAGTACTTCATCCACTGTAGCTCCTGGAGACTCCCTAACAAGTGGAAGGCACGCTCTAAAGAGATACAATGGGAAGGGGGGGGGGGGAATGAGTGTTTCTCAAGAGGGTCCAGAAGTCTCCTTGTAAAACGGTGGTAAAGTAAGGCAGGTCTCGAGAGCTAGTGGGAAGGCACCTTGGCCCTCACCAAGCTCTTACCCAGGCCCCAACAAGGACCTCCACCCTACCCAGGCCTTGATTATAAGCACAGCCCAGTTCCAGACCTCCAATACACAGCCCAGCTCCTAACAGCAACCTGACCCTTGGCCCTAGACCCTGTCGCTGGACTCAGTCTCAAAGACTGATGTCAGCCCTGGCCTCCATTTCCACCCTAGCCTCGGTTTCTGCCCCAGCACCCTAACCCACAGCCTGACTCTAGACTCCAGACCTGAACCTGACCCGAGCCTTAGCTCTCCACCCAAACCACTTGACCATCACCCTCTACTCTACCCTGACTCCAACAAGACCCCCAACCCTGACCTGGACCTCACCTCCATCCTCGCCTCACTCTCAGTCCAACCAGCACCCAGAGCATGACCCGCACCTCACTTTCATCTAGACCTGCATTCTGGGACTAATCCTCATTTCAACCTGAACCCTGACCCTCATACTACTTGGGCACTCACCTTTTCCCGACCCTAATTCTGACCCTCACCCAAACCCGAATCCTACTCAGGCCCGCATCCTACCTCAACCCATACCCTACACGGATCCTCACCCCCAAAACTCACTGCGTCCTACACGTAACGCTAAACCTTCACCCTGACTCTTACCCCATCCTACACCCTACCCCAACCCTCTACCTGGACCCTTAACCCGTCCCGGACCCCACCCCTACCCTCACCCCACCTCGACCGGACCCTGACCTGGCCCGCACCCAGCCCGCGCTCACCTCGGTGATAATGTCATGCAGGTAGCGGAACGGCGGCTTGTTGAGCAGCTTCTCGGTGAGCGGCGGCCTCCGGATGACTTTGCCCAGAGCCTCCTGCGTCCGCCGCACCACTGCCGCGTTCATGGCGCTGCCGCCGGCGACCGCCCGCGCCCCTCCTCGCGCACCGCGCCTCTGCCCGGTGCCCCGAGATGCCCGCCGTCCCGGCGCGCCAGTCTCCCATCCCACAGTGCACCGCAACTCGCCAAGGCGCCTGCGCGTGCCACCCGCGCCCGGTCTCTAGGGCCGCGCGGCCTTGGCAACGGACGCGCGCCCGGCCCCGCCCGGCCCCTCCGGCCTCTCTAGCTGCGCGGGAGGACATGCGTGCTGCGACTCTGTAGCTGCTTGAACCGGCTCGGCCCGCCCCAGAGCGCTGCACGTCGCTGCCCAGAGACCAGGCCATTCTGTGTGAGAAAGGAGTGATCCTTTCTAAAGAGAGAGCACAAAGTGACAAGTTTAAAGTTAACACCCACCAGGAAAATAACACTTCACAAAAACTTGGAGAACGAACTTGGCTCCTTTCAGCCCATCATTGCTGCTCCCCTGACCTGAACCCCCTGACTTGAGTACTCTTGAAAATGATGCCAAGAGGAGGAACGTGGGGACGTGTGCTTCTGTAGTTTTCTGTGCCTTTAGCTCACCAGGGCTGTCACAAAGCTGGGCAGTTGCTAGGTCCTTAGACGAGGATGCTGCAGCCTTCCGCCCCGGGGGCGGGGCGTTGTAGGAGAGAGGCCTGGTTGTGATCCCCGACACCGACACCGATGCTGCATTAGGATCAGATGCTGCTGCTGGGCCTGAGATCTGGAGTTCCTCGACCCAAACCGGAGAAACCCCAACTAGGACATTGCCCCTGACCCGCCTATCATGGCCACAAAAGGAGAGTCAGAAACTCCTTTCAGAGACCTCTCAGTCCCGAGCCGTGGCTGGAGTTGGTCTCTGGGTGGGGCAGAACGCAGAGAGCAGAGGTCCTATCTCTAAACACTGCCCCTGAGAACGGACCTACCCTGCAAGGTTCACTCTGGGAAGAAACCTGCTAAGGAGGTGGGCTGGAAGTTAGGGCCAGCAACTGGCTTGGCTAAGACCAGAGGGTAGGGACATAGGTGACTTGGACATACCTGACCTTGGGAATTCTACTGAGGACCTGGAACCTAGGTCATACGACAAAAGGAAGGTGATTCTTGCTGTTCTCACAGCTTGTGGAGAGCAGGGCAGTAAATGGACGCAAGAGGCCCTGGGGAGTCCCAGGGTACAGGGCTTGGCTGCTCTTTGGGAGTGCTAGCCAACAGAGAGCCTCAAACCCACCTGCGTATCAAAGTCTCTGGGAGGATCCAGGACAGGAAATATTGTCAACCAATCCCTGTGAGGACTCGCTGAGGGGAGGCAACCACATGGCAGCCTTTGACAAGTATCTTCCAGAGCCTCATTCCTGTTGCTGGTCCAACCTACTCCTCCATACTGGAGAGAGAGTGGACAACATTCTGGTCACTGAGAAAGCAGGTCCCAGAAGATGTAACCAAGGATTCCTGACTTCAAGAAAGATACCTGGAACCAGGACCTCCTCCAGGGAAGAAGTGCAGAGGCCAGCCTAGAGCCAGCTGTCTTGGAGGTCACCAGAGTAGGAGCTACTAGTCTAAATCATGCCCTGAGATAAGGCAGAGAACAGTTAATTCATAGAAATGCTTACTGATTAAGAATGGAAAAGAACAGCAAAGAAAGGGTTCCTAACTCAAAAGGCTGGCAGGGGAGGCTTTCAAAGTGAGTGGTTTCTGACTGAATGAATGAGATAACCATGGCTGTGACTCACCCCAGGAAACAGAAGCCACAAAGCTGAGTGGCTTTCAGGCCCTCCCTCCCCCAGCGAGGAGGCAAACATTCCCAGAGACAAAGACTGGCGGATGCTGAGAGCCCTGGATGTGGGTCAGGCTTGGAGAAGCGCCTGGATTTAGGTACCAGGGTAGGGATCAGGAGGCATGCAGAGGACAGATAAACCTAGCCTACAGATAGAAGACAGGATATCTCTAATCCATCTGAATTTCAGATAAGACAGTTTACCACAAATTTATGGCAGACTGTTTTTCCGTTCTTTTATTTGTAATTCAAAACGGAATACCCTGCAGTTTTTGTTCTCTAAGCCTGCAAGCCCTGGTTGTGGCAACCAGAGCGTGTCCATGGAGCAGAGTGCATAGCAAAAGCAGGCATCTCCCACTGGTGGGAAACCTCTCCCATCATCGCTGCTCCCACTTTCCCCAATTAGGAGTACAAAGCAGGGTCCCCACTACTAATGGCCAGCCCCCGATGTTGACATCTTCATTGCTGACCTTCATTTCAATCTTGTGGAAACTGAGGGAGGCACAGAGAGAGAAAGAGAGCTGGGGAGAGGCCCTGTCCCTCTTACAAAGTTCTGCCCCATGGTTTTCATGATTTTGGCAAGGTTGGGGTCTAGGTCCCATCACCCCCAAAGGCCTCTGAGCTACTCAGACCACTTTCCCAGCACCTTTAAGCTCTGCTGACCACAGCATCTTTTCAATGAAGGGAAAACTCTCCTCTCTGGGGACGCAGAGTCAAGGAGCTTACTAGAAAGATGCATCTGGAGGGTGCCACAAGCCCCGCCCACTTCTGAGGGGAGGACCAGGGCCGAAGAGTCCAGATGGGGGCAGCTCAGTGGTACAGCATTTACCTAGAATATGTGAGGTTCCAGGTTCCCTGGCCTGCACTGCAGAGCAAAGGGAACAGGAGGGCTTTTCAGGTAATTTGGGAAACTCCTCCTTTCACTCGGGCCACCCACCTTCTTCTCAACGCAAGTTATATTTTGAATATTTGTTTTATTTATTTAGTATGTCATTCATGCATTTATTTTTTTTCTTCCATTTACTAGTGTATATTTCAAAAATAAAAAGTCATACAGCTTTGTAAAATACAATATGACACTTTGCTACTTGTATATATGGTAAAAATGTTTTAATTCAGATAATTAATGCATCATTACCTACCATATGTGTCTTTTTTTCACCACATATAAGTGAGAGCATGTGGATTTGTCCTCTGTGCTTGGCTTATTTCATTTAACATAATGTCCTCCAAGTTCATGCCCATTGTTAAGTTCCTTATTTTACAGCAGAATAATATTCCTCTTTGTATATCATATTTTGCTTATGTGTTCATCTGTCAATAGCTGCTTAGATTGATTACTCTCCTGGTTAGCTTTAATTGTAAAGTTGATACAACCTATAATAATCTAGAAATGGAATCTCAGTCTCAAGTCTCTAAGTCAGACAGAACTGTGGGCATGTTGGGGGAGGGACTCTCTTGATGGTTGGTTGATATAGGGCAGACCAGCCCACTGTGGACAGAAACATCCTAGATTGTGTAAGAATTCTAACTGATCCAGGCATGATAGCAAATGCCTTTAATCCCAGTACTTGGAAGGCAGAGGCAGGGCGATCTCTGTAAGTTCAACGCCAGCCTGGTCTATATAGCAAGCTCCCAGGACAGCCAGGACTACATAGAGGGACCTGTCTCAAAAAAAAAAAAAAAAAAAAAAAAAAAAAAAAAAAAAGGCAAAAAGAAAGAAAGGAAGGAGAAAAGACAGAAAGAAAGCTGATCAGGAGCGAGCCCGTCTGCAGCCAGAAATATCTCTTATGATTCCTGCTACTTTTCTTTGGCTGTGGATTCCCTGATCAGAGGTAAAATCTTATAGAATGGTAGCCAGGCCTGCCTTCATGTTCCTGCTTTGACTTCTCTGGATGATGGACTGTGATCCAGAATCTTAAGCCAAATAAAACCTTTCTGCCCCAAAGTTGCCTTGGGTCAGGGTATTTATGACAACAACAGAAACTGGGACAATTATGTATCGTTTTAATTTATTATTTATTTATGTATCTCTGTGTATTTGAGACATTTTTATACAAGTGCCTATGGAGAGCAGGAGAGGTTGTTAGATTCCCTGGAGCTGGACTACAGGTGATTGTGAGCTGCTTGATATGGGTCCTGGGTACCAAGCCTGGGTCATTTAGAAGAGCAGTAAGTACTCTTAAACACTGAGCCATCTCCCCAGCCCACAGATTTTTGTTTTGTTCTGTTCTGTTTTGGCTTTTTTTGCTGTTGTTGTTTGTTTGTCTGTTTGTTTGTTTTAGGTAGGCTTTCCTCAAAATCAATATGTGGCTGAGGATGACCTTGAACTCCTGATCTTCTGTTATTGCTTCCCAAGTACTGGGATTCCAGGCGTGCACCTCCACACCTATTTTTATGTGTGCTGGGTATCTGGCTTCGTGCATACTAGGTAAAATGAAGCTGAATTCCCAGCCCAGATTCCATACGGACAATGCTGCAATGAACTTGAGGATGCATATAGCTTTATAAGATACAGATTTCACTTTCGTTGGATATATGCCTGGAATGGGATAGATAGCTAGGTCAGATGTTCTCTTTTGAGCTCTTTAAAATGCGTGCCATTTTCCATAACGGCTGTGCTACTTCATATGCCCACCAAGAGTGCCCTCTGTTCTCCACTCCTCGCCAGCATTTGTCTTTTGTCTTCTAGACATCAGCCATTCCTGCAGAGTTTTTTCACTTCCCAAACAGTGAACACCTTGTCTGGCTCCCGGGGAGAGTTTATTCATCATCCTCTTTTTTAAAAGATTATTTACTTTCATTTTATGTATGCGAGTGTTTGCCTGCGTGTATTTCTGTGCACCATGCATGTGAAGCGCCCATGCTAGGGGTCCTCTGGAACTGGAGTTGCAGAGAGTTGTAATCCACCATGTGGGTGCTGGGAATGAAATCTGGGTCCTCTGAAAGAGCAGCCAGTGCTTTTTAACTTCTGAGCTGTCTTTCCAGTCCCTCATCATCCCTTTTTGGTGACATAATCCTGAATTGCTTTCATTGTGAATTGCATTCACAAACCATTATGTGCTCCTTTGTGTCTCTCTAAAATCCCATGCTCAGATCCCCAGTACCTTGGAAGGCTACTCAGTTTGAAGACAAGAACTTTAAAGGGTTGGTTAAAATTAAATGATCACTAGAGTGCACCTGATGCCAAATCCAGTTTGACTGGTGTCCGCTTAAGAAAAGATTAGGACACACACACACACACACACACACACACACACACACACAGAGTAATGCTCATGTAAGGCCACAGGGAGAAGGCAGACGTTTACAAGCCAAGGAG